GAACAGCCCTTGTGCCATTTCAGTCTCAGCAGCAAGGTTTGGTGTCTCTCCTGCCACAAGCTCTCCCGGTTCCTCATCCCACCTTAGCAAACATGAGAAGCTCTGGCCAAGACTGAGCATCTGCTATTGGCAATTGCCTCATTGTAGCTTTGCCTTTTTCTGTCCTAGTATTTCCTCACAATGATGATGTTTACATGTGATTGCTATAGAGCTTATGTAGAATGTATATAGCGACACATTTAGGGTGGGTAGTACTGTCCTGTGCTGTGCTGTTTTTCAGAAAACAATCAATCCAAAAAAAAGCAAACAAAAAAAAGAAGCAAAGTGGAATTCTTCCATCTACCACTCAGCCGGGCCCTGCTAGGGATGCATCAAGGTGGCAGAGGGTAAGGGTCAGTGCAATGCCTGAGGAAGCCCTCTCCTGGGGGATCACTCAGTCACTTCCCAAGCACTGGTTTTGGTGTACCCAGGTATCAAATTCCAAAGTTTTCCTGTGGCTGGACACCCCGGGTCAGCCCCCAGCCCCTGCCGTGCCTGGCTTCTGAATACCAAGGTGGGTGCTTGGGAAGGGGAGGGCTCATCCTGCACAGAGCTCATCAGCACTGCACCCATAGGGTAAGAAGAGATGCAATACGTGGTCTTTGTGGTGCCTGAAGCCTATAAGTGGGGTTGGGTTTTGGGGGAGGTTTTATTTGTTGGGTTTTTTGTTGTTTTCTTTCCTCATTAAATTGGGATGGCTTCTTTTCCCTCCCACCCAGGAAATTTCTCCAGGACTTACGCACTATGCGCAGAGGTGTGTGCAAGGTGCAGGGGCACTGTGGCCCATCGCTGCCTGCTCCAGGGGCTTCCCTCAAGGTTTAGGAATAGAGGGTGTTCAGCTCAAGAAGCACAGCTCTGCTGGGTTTAGAATCCCTCACACAGGGTTTGTGGTGAAAAGTTCCCACTTTAGTTGATTTTCTTTTATCTTTTTTAATACAAAGGTGTCTTTAGCTCACAGCGCTCAACGTCTGCAGAGAGGCAGGAAGGAGTGCTCGGGCACAAGGTGCAGGTGAGAGCTCACTCCCTGAGCAGCCCGTGACTCTTCCGGATGCTGACAGGGAAGCCAGGCAGGAGCAGAGCAGGGAGAGGCAGCCCGTGCTGCTGGGGAAGCCGGTGGCAGCCAGTGCTTTGCTGATGGCAACAGGGAGCAGGATCACCCTCCTGCAGACAAGCTTTACATCCCGCCCAGCCTGTGGCATCACAGCGGGTGCCCTGCTGTGGCTGTAGCTCAGAGCTTGGCACCCTGAAAAGGGAACCCTGGCCCCAGCTGCCTGTGAGGGCTGGGGCTGCGGGGCTGGTAGGAGTGATACTTCAGAGAGGAACTGGGAGCCAAAGGGTGTATTATGGTAGGCAATAAGTGAGGAGATTTATTTTTTTAAACATATATGACTATAGAATGTCCCCCATTAGTTTCCTACAGGTACTGTGGGGTAATGCTGAATGTGAAGTCTTCGTGATAAAATGCCCCTTTGCCTTTTTTGCACAGATTTGTCCCAGGGAAGCTCGTGGTTCAGGGTGGGATACTGGGTTCCTGACTGGACTCCAGCGGGTCCCTGGGGCTCTGTGGGAAGGAGCAAACATTTCTGAGTGTCTGGGCTGAATGCAGAGGACAATCCTGGGTTTTAGGTTCCGTGCTGCCCCAAAGAAGAGGTTTCTCCCTATCCCTACTCAGCGCAGCTGACTGGCCTGCATGTCATCTTCAATGAAGCGGCTGCTCAGTCACCATGTTACAGTCTTGAGTGATTCCAGCACTGGTCCATGCAAAGGAGCATTGCAATTGCAGACCAGCACTGTTTTTCTTCTTTTTCTTTTGTTTTGGGTTGATTTTTGTTTCTTGGAGGCATGCTGAATACTGAGATACATCCTTGTACATCAGCTGAGCCTTGCCACCTTTTCTGTTCCAAGTGTCGTAGTCCATCCCTGACAATCTCAAGCAATATAGAGCCAAATGCAGCCTTTGGGTTTCATTCCTCTTCCCTCGCCCACCCTGGGGTCAGGAGGGGAGGTGGCAGCCTGGCCCCAGTGCCCACAGCACTGAGCCGAGGGCCACGCTGCAGTAAATACTGAGCTGGGGAGGGAGTGTGTGTATGCATGTGAGAAAGAGAAAGATTAAATTGATGCATTTCTTGAGAAAGGTGTAAGAATTTCACCTAAAAAGGGGCACATCTGCTTTGTTATTTATATTAAAACCCGATAAATTCTGTCTTTTTCTTCCTTTTTTTTTTTTTTTAAGTAAAAGGACACTGCTCATACTTACAGGGGCCAATTCTGCTTCCATTTCTCATGCCGAGTAAGTACTACTTAACTCTGCAGTTTTCTCCTTGCAGAGTAAGTAGAAGCAGCGGAATTGATCCCTCTATGATTAAGAATCAAGTTTTTAGTCTGTTTTTTTTTTTAATTGGTAGCATTTTTTTATATTTCACTGCATTTTTTCCCCAGTTCCGTTCTGTTGTGTCCTTATTTATGTAATATACTTTAACCTTAAAAGGCGGCATGGATTCCTATGCCTTTCCTTTATTATTATTGTTATTATTTTTAAACGAAGAGATTTATTTCTAGTGTGATTTAACTGTCTACCTTCTAAGACAAGAGAACGTTTTCTTGTATTTTTACATTGTCAGATTCTATAGTTTCATAGATAATTTAACCAAATCGCTCAATGTATTATCTCTATCTCTCCGGTGGGTATAAAAGTTCTATTTTAAATTGTGTAAATACTTCAGAACTGGCTTCTTTTTTCCAGACTCCCCAGCCGTGGAGTTACTTGTTTACATCAAAAAGACTGTAGAATCTCTACGCTCATGTACTGTAAATAGTGAAGTGATCTGCCTATAAATAAACGATAACATATATACTACAAAGTGGAAACAAAAACCAAAAGGAACAAGTCTGTGCTTCTAATACTTTAGCTCAAGCCTGCTCTGGGAGGAGGTGTTTTTTGCTTTGCTAAAGGTGCTCCCCTGTGTTGGCCTGGCTGGCAGTGGGACAGCTGGGACAAACTGGGGCCCAGCGGGGGGGTGAAGCCCCCAACTCACTTGCACCAACAGTGCCCTACTGCCAGAGATGCAGGAATATCCCTGGATATTGCTGCTTTAAGTGTGGCTTCTTGCAGTTTAACTCCTGCAGGAAAAACGTGGGCTGTCCTGTGGACTTTGGGAGCGGTGCCACTGCTGCAGGACCCATTGCAGAAGAAGCCTCCCCGACCAGGGAGGGTAAAAATGAAATGGGGCACGCACTTCAAATTTGCTTCAGTGGGAGTAAGAGAGCTGGATTGCAAGGAAAAGTGTGGAAAAAACTCCAGATGGTGATGCAGGAACCATGCAGTCCCCCAGTGCCAGGAGCGCAGTCCCACAGGAGCCAGCCTGTGCTCCCAGAGACACAGCCGAGGTGGCTGAACCAGCACAGGGTGTCCTGGGCATCATGGGAGCCCAGGCTGTGGAACGGATGGATGGAAGGCCAGGGCAGCTCTCCTGCAGCACCCAGCGCCCGGGAGCCCAGCACTAGCCATTGCCCAGCTCGGAAATGGTACACTGAATTTATTCGGATGATGCTGCTGGGCAGGAGGACCTGACAGGAGGAGGTCTGCAAGGTGCTGAGCTGGTTTTTCCTGCAGATTTGCACTGACTGAGGCAGCTGCCATAGACCGGTCTGTCTCTGGCACATACAAGGACTCATGGGCAGGCAGCTGCCCTCGGGGTGCCTGGTGTGGGTGCACAAGAGCAGGGTTCCTGGCTGGCAGGGCACTGGGATGGAGCAGGGGCACACAAGTGAAGGGTCTGCAGAGAGGAACAGACCCACAGCTGGGGTTTTTCCTCCCAGCCTGACCTGCGCTGCGTTTTCAGGCAGCTTCCTGGAAAATACAAGACATTGAGTATTATCCTGAAAGCAGACCTAGAAATCTAAGGGAGCTGTTGGTGAATCACAGCATCATTTCAGCAGCTCTGTTAGTCCCTGCAATTATATCCAGCCGGTTGGAAAGAAAACCAATGTGACAGTTTTCATTTTGGTGTAACTTTGTGATAAAACATCTTTTCACACAGATGGGTTCTTGCTTTTGCAGCAGTTTATGTTGCTGCTCATCGGCTCCTGGAGGGAAGGGAGGCAGTGCTACCTACTGAGCTAGGCACTGTGTGCCTTGTGGGACGGGAAAGTAAGTCAGTAATGGGCTGTTGTGAACAGGGGCAGCTTCCGTTGCTGACCTTGGCTGGTTGGCAGCATGGGCAGCACATGCAATGTGGGCATAGTGGTGGTGCAGGGACAGTGTGGGCAGCAAGGGCAGTGTGGCAGTGCCCACATCTGCCTTGCTGAGGCAGCATCTGCCCTGGGCTGCACTGGCTTGGTGGGACACCCCTACCCCCAAAGGGTCCCACAGAGAGGCAGGGACACAGCAAGGCAATGCCAGGCTGACCCATGTGAAGTGCCCATTGCTTGGGACCGATTTCAGTGCCTGGCAAGCTGTCCTGGGCTGCCCTTTGGAGTTTCAGCTCCCACCTGCCCTCTGAGCAGTGGCATCCAACACTGCTCTGCTGCTCCCTCCTCCCAGTACAGACCTCAGCTTCTGGGCAATGCAAGGTCTGTGCTGGGGCTCTGGGGGCCATGCTTAGAGTAACATACACATTTGCCCATCCTCTCCATCAGTCCCAGCTTGTTGCCCAGGTCCATCCAGGTGCCTTTGCAGGGAGGAATAGGGCAGGTTTAGTTTATCCACTCCCTGCCACCTCTAGACCCACTTCTCTGCACTACCACTGTAGCTGCCCAGAGTCCCAAAGGACTGCTCCCAACTTTTCATTTCCTCCCCAGCTTTTCAGCTCCCTCACTAACACACCTGCAGCTCCTGCCTCCTGCTTGCTGTGTGCCTTTAAATACTGGTGGAGTGCCTTCCCCAGGTGCTATTGGTTCAGGGGCATGTAATCGGTATTCCCTCTTTCCTTCTCCTCAGTCCTTGCCTGGGTGCTGTTTAATCTTTCCTATGCTGTCTCTGCCAAGTACCTTTTCAAACTCAGACTTGGATCTCTTGTGTTTCTCAGCAGTTTCCTGCAGGTAAGAAAGCACCATTCTTTCCATACCACCTTTTCTAGCACTAACCCTGCTCCTCCAAAACCCCACCACCCTGATCCTGGGTTCATCCTGTGTGGCCATGGCTTCTCCAACGTGGCAGACTGGATGCAGGCAGTTGGGTGGAGGGATGACTTTTCCTTGCCAAGGGGAGGAGGCAGCAGCTCCCTGCTTGCAGCCAATGGTGCTTCCACTACTGGTTTCTGTTTCACTTCTCATCAGTGACTGCTGGCACTCCACCGCAGCTCGGGCTACATGGTGATGCCGTGACCAGGCTGGAGATGGACCTGACCTGTGCCATCTGCCTGGACACTTACCTTGAGCTGGTGATGCTGAGTTGTGGTCACAGGATCTGCAGGGATTGCACCCAGGAGGAGTGCCCGCAGGACCGTTGCCCACTATGCCATACCCAGGCAGACCCAGAGGAGGAAAGGCCTGAAGTGCAATGTGAAGAGAAGGGGGAAAGCTTGGGACAGCAAGATGGGGTGATCCTGTGTGACTTCTGCCTTCAGGAGTCCCAGCCAGCCGTGAAGACCTGCATGAACTGCGAGGCCTCCCTCTGCCAAGCCCACCTGAGCAAGCACAACACAAAGAGCCCTCTGAAAGAGCACGTCCTGATAGAACCCTGTGAAGCTCAGGTTTTGGCTGAGAGGAGATGCCCCCAGCATGGCAGGCTGCTGGAGTGCTACTGTGTGACAGACTCCGTCTGCATCTGCATGCTGTGCTGCATCATCAGCTCCCACAAGGACCACGAGATCACCACTCTGGAGGAGGCTTTTGGCAAAGCACAGGTAACAGGCTGCCAGGACAGCCCTCAGAGCACAGATTGCACTAGGAAAACCACAGGGACCTGGGGCACAGGGAGCTGCCTGCAGCACAGAGATGAAACGTTTCTTGAGGTTCAGATCTGCAGACTTGGGTTGGGGCTAAATCTCCAGCTTGGGATACTGGGCTTTTATTCCCAGTTTTGCCCTAGATTCCCTCTGGGAATACAGGGATATAAAACAAGATGTTATGAAAACTTTCTTCCCACCCTGAGAAGCCAAACCAGTGGGACCGGGTGCATGTGACTGTGCTCCTAGTCCTGGGTGCAGTTCCAAGCCGAAGGTATTTTCAGTTTCAAAATGTCTTTCCTGTGCTTGTGATTGCAGTATTTGTCCAGGGCTACAATCTTCCAGTAAACCTTTATGATTCATTTGACCTGAGAGCAAGCAATCCTATGTCCATAAAGCTGCTGGTCTCATGCACCTGTGTCCATCCTATCCTGATACCTCCCGCTGGTTATTTTTACAGGGTTTTTTTACTGAAACCCTGGAAGCAGTGAAAACCCACGAAGCTGCGCTGAATCACAGCATAGAAAACCTGCTGAAACAAGAGGAGGAAGTAAAGGTTTGTTCCAAGTCCAACCACCACTCTGGGGATGGTTGTGTGCTGGTAGCTGATAAGACAAGGTTTTCTTTTGCCCTTCCCCAGATCGCGCATTCCAAAGTGGTTTTAGTTCCTGGTGGTTTCTCAGTTATTTTCTAGGTTTTGTTTTTTTTAGGGAGGATGATGAACAACTTTCTTACTTCCCTTTACTGGGAAGTACATTCTTTGTTTCCAAAGGGCATGTGAGCTTGAAAATTGCTATTAAGTCCATGCTTCCTGATTGGTAGGTGGTGGTATCACACACCATGCTATTGTGGTTTTATTCCTCTTTACAACAAGAAATCCCTTTAGGTTAGCCTGTGGTTCTGAGATGTTGATAGGAATTATGTTAAAAGATTGCCCCAAAATGCCTGGTTTTTGCTCCCAGCATGCCAATACCTATGTAAAAGCTCTGGAAGAGCAGTGAATTTAACACAGGTCTCCAAATCCTAGCTCATTCTGCTGAGGCAGAATTGGCACTTGTCTTCCTCCACCAGTAAAAATGATAGGACTTGAAGTCCTGGCACTGGGCAAAGGTCTGAAGACAGAACTGTACTTGGCACTTGGTACTTGTACTTCCTCACCCATCCTTAAAGGGACCAAAGACAACTAATGCAGAATATGGGAATACAGTGGAAAGTCTTCAGCAAGCATCATGCAAGCTTCACTACTTTTTCAGCTTTTTCTGGTCAGGTTGCCAGATGCTGGGGTACTTGTGTCACTTAGCCCTTCTGCTGTCAATGGGACATCTTGGTTTGTTGTCACATGGACAGACACTAAGTTAGTATTTACTTCTCTGAGCCCAGAAGAGACCAGGCTCTTTTCTGAGTGAGAGTGATTGGGTTTAAATGTAAGATTCGGTTCCTAACACCTTTGGAAGTGTTTTCTTAACAGACTGAGGAGGGCCTGCAGAGGGGTCGGCTGGAGAGCCTCTTCAAAGAGATGAGTCTGCAGCTAGGAAACAGAAAAGAAGAAGTCCTGAAAGTTCTCAGTCACAACGAGGAGCAACAGCTTTCTTGGATTCAGAAGGGGATGCAAAAACACAAAGAGGGGAAGGATGCAGCCAGCCGTGATGTACGGGAGCTGGAGGCTCTGAGAGATCAGAAAGACCTCCTTCTTTTCATCAAGGTACCTAACAGCATCTCCCTTGCCAGAGACACTCAGCTCTTGGGCTACCCTTTGCCTTTGCTATGCTAATTCTACTTTCAAACTGTCTTTTACAGGCTTTTTCAGCAATTCAGACCAGGTAAGCTCTTCCCAAGGTGGTCTACTATCGCACTACACGTTGCTTCGGGTGACTGATAGCCTAGCCTGCATGTCCTGGGCTCACTCTTTGGCATGCTGGTGGCAAACTGAGCCTGAAGAAGCCCCAGAGGCCGTGTGTGACTTTTCATATACAGCACATCTTATTTTTCTGTACCCTCTGCACCTATTCTCAAGTCCCATTCTGAGGGCAGTTCCTGAATGTTGAGGTCCCTGTATGGGCATGCAAAGGACAGATGAGCTTAGTTATCCTGAGTCATCCTCCAGCTCGCATTGCCTTCTGCTTGTAAGAAGCAAATGTGGCAGGAGCCAAACATGCAGCGCAGTCAAGAGTTTACAGAGTTCATGGCTTTTCTCCTGAGCTGTTCTCCCAGGGTCTGCCCTGCTCCTCCACCACAGCATGCACACAGGCTCCCCCAGCCCTGCATTTTGGGTTTAGCAGCTCACCTAGGGCTGTGGAAACGCAGCACATCTCATCTGCTGATGAGATCTGATCATCTGATCTCATCAGCATCATTAGCTGTCCCAGCATCATTAGCTGTGCCACCTCATTAGCTCCTGCTCCGAGGACGGAGGACTGCAACCGCAAACAGGATGCTAGAGTCTGTCCTGGCAAAGCTGGGCTGAGACGGCTGAGACAAGGTCCTCTATGGACAGATACTGTCCATACTTCAGCCTGCTGATGCTGAAGAGATCTGGAGTTCTGGGAGAAGACCAGTCAGAGAGGGAGTCCCTGGTAAAGCTGCAGAGAGAGGGGAGGGTGGAAGGTGCTTTCTGTGTGTCCCATCAAGGTTTGGTGTGGAGTGGGGGATGTAGTTGTTCACTCAGTGATGGGCTTGGGGATGGTTTTCTGATGCCTTCTGCTGCTCTTCTGATGTCATTCTGTATGTTTTAGGGAACACGAACCAGTTTCTAAGAATGCTGATTTAAAACCAAGGCCACCCATTATTTTGGATAAATTAACAACAGATGGTACTCTAAGGCTTTTCCAGCAATTCCTCTCAGACATGCAGTCCTTATTTAAATCACCGCCTGGTAAGTGCTCATTTCACTCTGTAATAAGAACATGGAGAAGCTAACAAAGCATATTCAGGAAAAGACTGTAGTAAACCACCAAGTACTCAAAAATAGATCTAGAAGAGCTGATTGCTAACACTTACTAGATGATCTTTAAGGTCCCTTCCAAGTCAAACTGTTCTATAGTATTCTGTGATATGACTGTATGATTATTTTCACATATGTGTACATAAAAGGATGCTTGTCCCAGGCTTCAGTGCTTTGGACATGCCTTGAACATACCCTGCTAAAATGGGTTCTAGGTAAAGAGGTATGGATGTCCTAGGACATGTATGGGAAGATTTAGAGAGAAGAATAGCAATAGCTTTTCAATCTGTAGCACCACTTCGATTCAAAGCACGGGGAAATTTGGGAACTCATCACAGCAGCGGCAGGTGGAGTTTGTCTTATGACAAAATAATCCCCTCTTTGTGTGTAAATCTACTCATTGTGATGTCTTGTATGACCAACGTACAGTGCTGGTGCTGTGCACAGTGGGAAGCCTGTTCAATTTAATTAGACAAAAAAAAAGGGTTCCCTTGTTATTGCTGCATGGAGGGTGCTTGAGCCCTGCCTGACAGTGAGCCTAGGGTCAAGACCAAGAGACAGCTGGGGTGGGAAGGCTCTGCCCAGAGCATGTGTGATGTGCACACCTAATTGGCTGCCACCCGTACAGCCTCGGCTATGCTAAACAGCGCACCATGCTCATGGCCACTCCCAGGCTCGGTCTTTACCATCCCTGTAAGCACAGTCCAGACCTATTCTAGCTAGAAAGCCCCAGAGCCAGGTTTTCCTCATTGTCCATGCCATCTGAGCAGTCCAGGTTAGTTGTCCAAGTCACTGCTGCTATTTGTTTCCTGAAGGAGTAACTTCCACAGAATCGAAACGCATTGAGTGCAAGGGAAGGTCTGAATAAACACATTCTGCAAATTCCCAACTGCAGAATTACCTCCTTGTGCCTGGCCATGCTAGGAAGTTTTAAGAGTTCTAGAAAACACCTTCAAATGATCCTAAGCAAATAAGCATGTATAAAATGGCTGTGCCACTGCTCACATGTTTCTCGTCTGTGGAAGTTAATCTGGGAAGTTTTTAGAAATGCCTAATGAAGCTCTGCAGGGCACTGATGGAAAATGAGAATCTCAGAGCTGCTGTCATTGGAAACACAAAGCAAGAAGACATTTTAAAATTGTGAAAGAGCAGTGTTTCTTGAAATGTGGGATCACCCCCTTTTAGAATTACGTGGGAGCAGCTAAGAGAGGTACAGAAGCACTTTCAGTTAACATGCTTTTAGTGACTTGGGTGGGTTGGACTTGAATGACTTGGATAGGATAACTTGTGTTGACTTGGATTGGGAAATCCAGCCTTCAGCAACTGGGGGATGTGTGGTATCTGTGTGTTGGTTTTCTTTCTCTACAGTTCATGAACATCTGACAACTTCAGTGTGTCAAGAAGGCAGATTTGCTTTTGGGAGCAAGGCATTCCATGTGTCCCCACGGCACCTACCCACAGTTCCCAATGTGGATGCATTAACAGCCCCTATCCCCCAGTTCAAGAGCAATGAGAGCTTCTCAGAAGGCTGTCACTTCTGGGAGGTAGACACTAGCAACATGAGACACTGGATGCTTGGAATTGCTTGTCCCAGGTTTCAGTGCTATCTGGAAGCGTCTTCTCATTACCTCTCTCTGTTCCTAGATAAAACACTGATCACGGGAAAGCACTTTCCTACAGCCCTCAAAGTGATCAGGGTAGAGGTAGACTGTGGAAGAAATAGGCTGTCATTTTATAACGTGTCTGTCAAGGATGGAGATCCTACTGACAGTCTCCATCTTTTAGAGGCAGTAAGCATCCCTTTCAGCTACCCTGTCCATGCTATCTTCAAGATATTTGAAGGCTCTCTGAAGCTCCTGTAGTGATGTGGGGACAAGGTGCTGTTTTGTATTTCCAGGCGATCTATCAGGACTGCTGCTGCATGGAAGCTATGCTAAGCTGGCATATTAGAAACTGGAATTGGGGCTGCTGTGATGGCTTTATCTCTGTGAGGGCAAGGCCTCTGTGGGGTGTATCACAGCACACAGCTGCTTACCGCAAGAACTCCTGTCTTCTGTTAGTCACAATGGAAATGCTGTTAAGTTGTGCTTTTTTGCTCAGCTGTACCAAATTCCGTGTTGGCTGCATGCTATTACATCTGGTTTTTACTGAACAGCAGTTCAGTTCATAAAGAAGTTGAACTGCTACAGAACAAAGCAGCAGCAATGATGATCTTTAATGCACAACTGAAGCCATCCCGTGCAGAAGCAAATCTGGGCTGGGAGGCGAGTAGAGACTAGGTGGTAAGACATCCCGTTTCCTTTCTCTCCACTGCTGACATCCCCTGTGAGGACTCTGATAGATCATTTACCAACTTTTTTGCATGAATTTTGGGTTTTCTTTTCACCTGTGCAAAAATCTCACAGCAAAGGGAACAATAAAGCAGAAAACTCTTGTGCTTTTATTCTGTGCCACACGGGGCCTGAATTAGTTTGTTCTTATGACTGTCTGAACACCTTGGGGAGGAAGAGATGCTATTCCTGCTTGTTCCCTGTGGTTCTACTGTCTTCAGAACAAGCGAAGGTATTTGCATTAAGAGGTCCAGGCAGGAGCTCTTCAACCTAGCAGAGGCAGTGAATGACCTCATGGGACACTACAGTTTTATGTGACAAAAGAAATCCTTGTTCAGTCTTAGAAGAAAGCAGATGTGCTTTATCTTTTGTATTTTATACACCAAAATGATAGGGAAAACCATGCAGGCAGAGTCGGGTCTCTCAAAGGCACCTGCAGTGGCTGCTGCTCTGCCTGGTCTTGGGCGGTACGTGTGCAGAAGGTAAGCAAGGCTTCGACATGGTGCGGGGACATTCCTATCCTACAGTGCCTTTACCAGCGCCCATTTCCCTGTGGCTGCAGGTACAAGACCAGCACCAACACCTGTCCCCTGAGTTCTCCCTGCTTTACCTTTAGGGCAGCACCTGTAACCGTTGCGGAGCAGAACCAGAGCAGAGGGAACCCCTGGCTCACTCACGCTCTTCTCACCCAGAGCTTACTACCTCGCTGCCCCTGCCAGGAGCCGGATCTCCCCGGGAGAGCCGAGCGCGGCAGAGCAGCCCCATCCCCTGCCAGCCTGCTGCGGGCTCGCACATGGAGCGGTGCCCCGAGGGTGAGGGCAGCGGCTGCCACCGCTTACGGGAGCGGTTTGGGGGTGGAGCCTGGGATGGAGGAGAAGAGGAGGGCAAAGGGGAAGCACTCGCAGCCTTAGGGCTGAGCCTCCGACCGGGCACGGTGCCGAGCACCCCCGCGTAGTTTCGTTTCTCGCAGACCGGCCAAGGCGTCATGCCCGCTGCCATGCAAGACCTCGGGAAGAAGCCGGAAGGGGTGCCTGCATGGAGGACGAGCTCAGCTGCCCCCTCTGCCAGTGTCTGTACAGGAACCCAGCGCTGCTGCGCTGCGGTCACAGCTTCTGCAAACACTGCATCAACCAGGTGCTTGATGGCCAGCAGCAATCCAAGGCCCCTTACTCCTGCCCCATATGCAGGCACCAGCTGGGCCCATCCCGGAGCTGCAGAAGAATTTCCAGCTGTGCAGCATCGTAGAGGCGTTTACGGCTACTTCCGAAGGGCAACAGGGCTTGAGCTCTGCAGGGGAGAAGGAAGAGGTTCCCTGTGACTTCTGCCTGGATCCGCCGAAGTCGGCGGTGCAGACCTGCCTGGCCTGCGATGCGTCTTTGTGCCAGGCCCATGTGAACAAACACAACACCAAAGCTTCCCGTAAGGACCACATACTGGTGGAGGTGGGCGCTGACGCTGCTGTGCCAGAGAGGAGGTGCCTGGAGCACGGCAGGCGGCTGGAGTTGTACTGCCAGGACGAGGGGCAGTACATCTGCATGCTCTGCTCCATCGTGGCGTGCCACAGGGGCCACAGCATCATCACCCTGAAGGAGACCTATGACAAGAGGCTGGTAAGGCGATCTCCCCATGGTCCCTGCGGGGACTGCTCCAAACTCCTGACCTGGAGGAAGAAGAGGGGAAGCCACAGGAAGGGCAACAAGGCTTTCTTGCTCTGGAAGGGGGACGGGGTGCGAGGGCAGGAATTTGCTTTTCATTTCCTCCCTTGTGTTGCCAAAGCAGCCTGACAAGCTCAGCTCAGGCAGTACAGCAGAGATGGGTATTTGGGGCTGACCAAATCTTGCAGTGTGTGGTGACATGGGACAGCGAGCAAGAGGCAGGGCTTTGCTGTCCAGCACTGCCCAGGTGAGTGCCCATGGTGTGCTGTCCGTGCGGCTACAGACTGCCACTCACATGGCATTCCTGGCTGGGACTGAAACGTATTCCTGTAGGGATTACGAAGTCTCTTCTTCCACAGAGCCCCCTTCCCAACTTTGGGTTGGGAAACAGGCCTTCCCACTCAAGTCGCTTCCCTCCATCTCCCTCCTCCCTCTGCCCTTATTTTGCAGAGTAAGTGTCCCCGTGGAGATGTGGGGGCTCGGTGTCCTTGCCTTTGAGTCCAGCTGCATCTATGAAATGCCCCAGAATCAGCTGAGACTGAGGGGTGAAACGCATTTGCTACGCTCACTCACTGCCTTGCGTTTGAAATGTCGGGGCTCAATACAGAGCCCAAGCAAAACACCCTGCAGGAACCCAAGCACATGGCCATGAAACGCCTGGCTTGCTCTGGACCTCAGGACAGGTCCCAGCCTCTTCAGGGATTAGCAGGAAGCATCCTTTGCACTTTGAACTAACTTTCTTCCCCAAGTTACATACAAGTAGTTCAGGGCTGCCAAACAGAAGTGGGCTGTGTACGACAGCAACTATTTCCTTCATCCCTGGAGCAAGTAAAGGAGCAAAACTGCCCTGTCTATGGGGAGTCATCTGCAGGGTAAGCTGAGATCACAGCTGCATGTTCCTGTTGGGTTTGTGTTTGGTTTCAACAAACAAACAAATGAACTCCCAGAAAAATCAGGGCAATGGGGAACGCAGCTCTTCAGAAGGCATCATAAAAGGGTTTTGGTGCAATAAACGTCAGTCAAATTTCATCAAGAAATGATGTCTTTCATTCTGCTAGGGTGAACTATCAGACCTCATGACAAGGCTGCAGGAACGTAAAACAGCTTTAGCTACTGCCCTAGGAGAGCTTCAGAAAGGCGAGAACCACCTCAAGGTTGGTACCCAGATCATCACTAATTCAGAGAATTTTTCCTCCACCATTTCCCAGCAGAATGTGATGGCAGCTCTACTGCTAGAAGCAGATTCATAGAAATAGTCCAAAATAGAGAAAACAGTGGTATAAGAAACTGCCAACCTTTCTCACAGCCTCCCAGCATAGCTCTAGAGGAAGAACCAGCTGGGAGACTCCACCATTTATTGCGGCTGCACAGGCCAGGAGTGGCAGACCACAGACTGCACATCACTATGGGGTTTCTTTAAAGTTTTCTACCTGCTGAATGAAAGAAAACCAATTTGAGTTTACAAGTGGAATTTCCGGTGCGTGCCGATACAGTTCTCACATTGCTAACTGGATTTTATCTGATTTTGTTACTGTATCAGGATTAATATTCATAACCTTCTGTTTAGTCAGATAGTCTAAGCAAATGCTTATTGTCCACTTCCTCCTAAAGCCAGTGCAAAGGACAGATAAAATCCTAATTAATTAATAGAGACACTAAGCTGAAATGAGCTAGCGCACCATTCTGAGCCAGTGCACCATTTTCTCATCTGCTCATTTAGAACAATACAAAAACAGTGACTTCTCAGCTGCAAAAGCTGTTTGAAGAGATGAGCAATGATAATTGAGAAAGAGAAGACGATCCTGGGTGACATTCAATCTAATGAGAAAAAACAACTGGCAGATATTACCAAAGTGAAGCAGGAAATGGAACAGAAGAGAGATGAGGCTGCGCAGCATCTTCAGTCTTTGCAGAAGATGAGAGAGCAACCAGATATGTTCCTCTTTGTCAAAGTAAGCAGTGGTATTCTGTTTTTCTTCATGAATATGCCTGTTTCTCAGCCAGGTGCCTTGTCTGGAAATCATACTAACGATTTTTTTTCCTTTCTTTTGGCAATGCTATTTGCAGGAATTTAAACAGGCCAAGGACAGGTATGTTCCACCTGAAAACACTTGCTTTCTTCTTTACAAAAATATGGTGTTTAACTGGAATCAAACCCCACTGCCTGTGCCCCTCTGTCCTGGCACCCTGCGCTGCAAAGCTGCTCCCTGCTCCAGCTGAGCCAGAGGGCACCACGTCCACACAATTAATGCGAATGGAGAGGTATCTGCCTGCTGTTCCAGTGGTCCATTTCAGTTTCCTTGGCAGCTACATGGCTGCTGGGTTCTGATGAAAACCACTGGCTTGTACTACCAGAATAACATTTTTATCACAGATGAAGCCCATAGGGTTCAGTTCACAGAAGCACTCCTGGGTGTGTGTTGGTGACACTCCTGCACCTAAGTCCCAGGAAATAGCCGTCACTGCAAAGGTAACTGGCTCATTCCCCACTGAGTTTTGCTTTTGCTCCTGGGCAAGCTTAATATCAAGACATATTTATTATCCCTTCCCTTGAAAGTGATATATTTAATTTCTAACTTATCACTTCCTAATTGATGCCTGGGTGTCAGGCTGTAATTCAGTGGTACAAAACCACACCAACTTACAGATCCACAAGAGATTTTGCTGCAGCACTGAAGTGCCCAGCTGCATGAAGAGCTAGCTCAAACACCTAGCTGGATTTGAAGATGTCATCTTTATAACTTGTACAAATTAAAGCTGAGTTTGAACTTGGATTGTAAGGGTAACGTTGAATCACCATGTACCTAGGGGCTGTGCTGGCAGCAGCACAATCCATTACTCACAGCTGTGCCACAAGTCAAAATCTAGCCTGTGGGATCAAAGTCATTTTCCAGAAGCCTGGACACCATTTAATATGTTTGGCATTTTCCTTCTATCACGACAGTGGTTGTGCTAGAACAGTAAGAGCCTGCCTGCAGCAGGTCAGAGCACTGTTGGCACAAGAGTACTAGCAAAATGCCTCCCCGTTTCTCATTTCCAGCATTTGAAAATCCCTGTTCAGGTTTGGAAAGCAGAAGTTACTGCCAAATATACAAATATAACAATTGCAACTCACTTAACCTTATCAGAGAGCTGCTTACTTCATACTTCATGTTGCCAAAGCACCCTTCTCTTTGTAGAGTCCTTTCTAACAAAGGAGTTTGTTAACTTTCAATGCTAAATGTTTTTCCTTGGTGAAATGACTGACTGTGCCCTAGGATTGTCAGTAAGAATTTCAGCATCAGCACGATGTACATGATGATGGTGCAGCTGGATGAGGCCACAATTAACTGCTATCAACGCTTAACTTGGGACTTCATGAGAAACCTGGACTCGGCGCTGCAAACCCTGCAGGGTGAGTGATCTGACCCCAAGCGGAAAGCAACAAGCGATGGGTGGCTGATGGGCACTGAATGATGGCATGTGTGTGCTCTTGAGGGGGCTGACAAGGATTCCAATGGGATCTTGGGACTATTGAAGTGGGGAGGGCAAAGAGGACAGAAAAACTTGTTTCTGGGGATAACAAGGAAGAGGTCCACTCCTAACTAGCATAAGGCTAGCTCCTTTTCATTTATCCACTCCTACCCCCATCTAGTCTGTCCCCAGCCATGAGATCTGAATGCATTGGCATTGCTTGCTTTGTAAAACACTCTTCTTGAGCTTTCTTAGGTAAACTCGCCAAACAAATTTGGTGGACCAGGTAAATCCTTTTCTTTACTTACAAAAATGTTCCCCGCAAATTTTTCCAGCAGTTATTCATTTAAGGACTGTGTGGCCTGTGCTCCTCTGCATCAGTGTCAAGGAGAGCAGAGTCTAGAAGGCTGTCCCTCATCTCAAAAGGGGAAGCCTCTTACTTCATTATTAGTAAGATGTGATTTGTGTTTTACAAGGCACTAACATTCAATCTTGTTTCTTTACAGTTAAGCTTCAGACACTGATAACTGCAAAGCGTAAGTGTTCAAAAAATACTAGTTATTCCTCAGGACTCTGGCCAGGGGCTGAGTCTTGCAGAGAAAATCTCTCACCTAAAAATGTGAGTGGCGTTTTGTTGCATGCCTATCCTCTCCTAGCCAGGGGTGAGGCCAGCAGGCAAGCAGCCTCAGAAACACTTCCCAAAATCTGAAGTGGGCAGAAATCTCTGGGAACTCACCAGAGAAATCATCCCTCTTGAGCCTGAGGGAGAGACTGGGTTTGCTTCAGCACTCAGTAAAAGCCTGAGCCTTCCCGAGGGAAGGACTGTGGAGGGGTTCCCCCCAACTGAGCAGGAGCCGGAGCAAACCCAGTGCCTGAAAGGATCCCCACACAATTCCAAATGCTGCAGGAGATACTAAATCTGTAAACAGCATTTCTCCTCAGGCTAGCTCAGTGCTCAAATAGATTTCTGCTGCCTACAGTGGTGCATCTTTTCTACAAGCTTGTTTGAAGAAATAGTATTTAGAAGTTATTTGATTTTTTTAATAGATATTTTTATTTGTGGCAACTAACCCCACCTTGTTTGTTTTTTTTTTCCCCAGTAACTGAATTAGCTTATAAAATATGGAGCACAGAAGCAGCACAAAAAGCAGGTAAGCGATTAAATGGAGTTTTAGTTACGCAGCACAGCTTAACCATACAGTTGTTTTTATTTAGAATTATGGAACTGATTAGACTGGAAGAAATCCCTTTAAGATCAAGTCCAAGTGCTAACCCTGCCCTGCCAAGCCCACCACTAAACCATGTCCCTGAACATCACATCTGTTAAATACCTCCAGGAATGGTGACTGCACCACTTCCCTGGACAGCCTGATCCAGTGCCTGATAACCCTTTTGCTGAAGAAATATTTCCTAATATCCAGTCTAAACCTCCCCTGGCACAACTTGAGGCCATTTTCTCTTTTCCTATCTCTTGGTAACTGGGAGAAGAGATGGACCTTGCTACATCCTCCTTTCAAGTGGTTGTAGAGAGCGGTAAGGTTTCCTCTGAGCCTCCTTTTCTCCAGACTAAACAACCCCACTTCCCTCAGCTGCTCCTCATAAGACTTGTGTGTTTGACCCTTCACCACTAAACATAATGCCAGCCTCAAATCTAGAGGTATATTTTTAAATCAGTGTACATGGCCATTTATTTGTCTTGTGAGCTCAATCATCTACAGACATACTAATGTCTGTGTTCTATACAGATCCAGACAGCTACTTAAAACAGGGAGGGGGAAGAAAAGAAATATTTTTCTGAGGAAATGCAATGCTGTACTTGAAAGCAACTTATCAAATATGTTATTAACATAGCAATAAAATACTACTTTATTAGTACAGTAAGTGAAACTTTTCAATCTTGTGTATTCCTGCAGCACAAATGGCACTGCCAAGCCCACTATACTTCAGAAGGCAGACCACAGGATCAGAGTCTCACAGACCTGCTGGGAATGAATGGGACTTTTGGACATCATCTAGTCCAAACCCCCTGTACAACACAGGGGTACTGAGAGCAGGTTACACAGGATTGCATCCAGGTGCATCCGAGGAGGAAACATTCCACGACCCGTACCAGTGACCTTCCTTCCTCAACATGAACTACATGGATTGTCCCAATTTATCCTGAAGTAAGAGAGATGGAAAGAAAAAGTTAAATATTGTCAAAATGTCCTCTTCCCATGGGGACTTGCCAAGTGTCTTGACCTCCCCTGCATGCCTGCTTTGAAAGCAATTCTGTAGCATGTGCAGATTGAGAAAAGAAGTGCTAAGAATTAACACGAACATAAGAAAATCTCCACCTGCTGCTGGCTTCCAAACTGTGAACTATATAATCTCATGGTACTAATGATACTTGTGTACTATTAATGATGTCTATTACTACTACTATTAATACTGTCATTATGTGGTTAGATAACCAAAGAAATGGCTAAAGATACCGATAAGCAAGGCTGGCTGATTTTATACCATTGCTAGAAATTAATTGTTGAGAGCACTGTTTGCAGATGGCTGCAGTAGAAAACTGTTCAGGACAATGCTGCCAATTTAACACAAAGGATCTTTGTGGCAAATAATTACTTATCTTTGTATGAGTCAGCATCCAAGCCACATTTTAACACTTCTACAGAGCGCACAAAGAGCCATGCAAAATACCACAGTCACTAGTGTATGAAGGTGCTTTGCTGGCCACATCTCCATATGTACAGATGTTATTTTTTAATCAAGCACATGCTGTGTGTTCCAGATGTAGCCCTTATTTCACATACCAACTTCACTGAAGGATTTCACGGACACTCCCAGGCAGGTAGGCTCACTCCTTGTTGCTGTAGGCTGCTCTGTTCCTAGCTGTGGTTCAGATCCAACATAGAGGTTCACAACCTGGGTGGTTTTTCTCCAAATGATAAAAATATTCTACTGCAAACCAGGGTTGCCAACATAAGCATTTTTAAGAAATCAAGGCTAAAGTTCAGGGTACTTCATATAAGTTAGGATTCATGGCCCTGACTCTATTCTGTCACTTGTGATAATCTACATATATCTAATCGCAGAGATTAAAAGCAATAAACTCAGCAAAATCCATCTCAGATTTAGAGTAACACCTCTCTTCATGGTTTAAATGGACTCACCAAGCTGTAATGGATCCGCAGCCCTTTCTCTGCCGCACACATCAATTGTCAGTGTAACAGAAAGCACGTGGCCAAATTTGGGGAGCTCAGCAGTAGCTCAAGGTGACTTTGCAAGTATTCCCTACTGCTCAAAGCCAGTGAGACATGAAGGACAGCTGCTGTCACTCAGATGAGGCAAAAAGAATGAGCCTGTCCTTTGGCACTTTTATGACCTGGGCTCCTCTCTGGCTGCAAGGTAGTTATTTCATTCTAGGTGAAGGAGCCATGACCAGGCAATGCAGTTCAGTGCTGCTGCTGCAGGCAGCAAGTTACTGCACTGCTGCAAATCACTAGAGTCAGAGATTTACTTGATGGTATTTTAAGTCACACTCCCATCCTACGTTGAGGACACGTGGGAAATGTCAGTACTTCTGTCACCCTTTCTAAAACATCAGTTTAGCATTTCCTCAGTGAAACCTGCATTACAAACGTATTCCTGTGCCTCCAGCTACAGACTGCTGTGGGTGAACTGGAACACCACTCTTGCCTTCACTAGATAAAGGACAGGGTGGCTGGCAGCAGGGTGCTGATTCCTGTGCTCCCAGGCAGGTGTCCTCACCAGTGTGTTCCTAGATGTACGGTTACCCCCTTGCCTGCAAGAGATGTTCACTTTTTAACACCATTTCTGACAGCCTTTGAGAAGCAGTGATGATACTTTTTTTCCCCAGGGAGGATAAGGTACTGATTTCACCTTTCCTGCAACGCCATCAGCTGCCAGAATCTCTAAGCCCCTGGTAGAAATGTCTGTGACCTGTTTAGAGGAAGGTCCTCCCAGAAACCTTAGCCACGGACGAACATCCAGTTCTCAGGAACGGAGTTACATTCCCAAGAGCCTCTCAGAAGGGCTGGGAGCAGTCGAGAAGGGAGTATGTCTGCAGCAGGCTGGGTCAGGCTGTTTGTGCCCTCAGAAGAGCTCTGCAGTCCTCCTAGACAGTTGTAATGCTGCCTTTGAAGTGTCAATCACACATAATACAGTATTACACTAAAGCTGAAGTACTCAGCATAACTAAACCCCAGGACCAATGGGACTTATTGACCAAAGCAAAGACAATAACTGGATGGCTGGAACTTGCCTAGCATCTAATTTGGAGTGAAAAGTGCAGGTAGCTCTTCCCTGCTAGGCTTATCGGACTCAGATTTGGGGCTGATGTGAATACTTGCCCAAACATAGTAAAAGAAGGTGGCTATTGAGGCAAAATTGATGTGATTGAGGAGATAAGGACTTTATAATCACTGCTAGAGGCCAAAAGCAAAGGGTTTCATTTCAAGCAGATTGGAAAAAATACATTTTTTTAATACTGCTGCAGGATCAAAAAGCTTTTGGATGAAATTAGTATCTAGGAAGGTAGATTTTCTGAGTTAGATACTAAGCTGATGGTGCAGTTTATTTTCCCCATACATTTGCCTGCTATAGTATTAGCAAAGATAGACTCCTCTGAGTTTGAGACATCATTTGAGTGATGAAGCAGAGCTGGAAGCCTGGAAAGGGCTGAGAAGAGCCATTGCAGAGGGGTTTTATTGATGGATCAGAGGGTGATAATAACACTGTCCTGTGCAGCCCCTAGAGCTCTGCTGGAGGACCAGGGCACAGTGGGGCTGTACGAGAGCTGCAGTGCAGGGTGAGAGGGCAAGGTGGGAGGGCTTCCCTGGGTGGGAGGAGCCGGGATGCACCGGAATATGTGCTCAGGGGGACAAAACGGAGCCTTCTTCCACAATTATTTCGTATTCTGAGGAACTGCCCTCTGCAGATTTGCTGTTCTAAAGGTGACAGGGCAATGTGGAGAACGGAGCAGCAGTCTGACAGGCTGACTAAGCGGGACAGGCAGATGGCACGTGTGTTTATGTGTCAGCAAGCCCCAGCTCGCTGTTCCTTGGCAGGAGATTCTGGAGCATGAGGAGCCCCAGAGGCACATTTCTCCAAGGCCAAAGGTCCCCTAAATGCAGAAATACACTAACCACAAAGCTTAACGTACATCAGGAAGAGGAAGGCAGTTGGAAGTTAAATGACAGAGTTATCTTAAATATTTACTTGTATTTTTCCCCCCACTTTTTAACAAATCATCATACAGTAAAAAGAAAAAATAATAGCAGTGAAAGAAAAAAAAATAACTGATTCTGGAAAATCAGTGCTTAGGAATTTTTTTAATATGTTATTTGTGCTCCAAGAAGATATTATTTCCCTTTTTCTTCCATGAAGACATGAGGTATTAGATGATCCAGGCTGTTCCACAGCCAGTGCCTCTAGAACAATGAAAATGCTGTGACACTCATTGCTTGGTTTTGAGGGTTTTTATCAGGTTTGTGCAGGGTCCCTACACAGAAGGCTCCTCTTAAGGCTTTCAACACAGATCTCACTCCTCACAAGGATTCCCTCTGGTAGTCTTTTGAGTCACCACCCACTTAAAACTCAATTAAAACTCATGTGGAAGTCCCTAAGAGGACTGGGAAGTCAGAGCCACTGGTGCTGGGTAACCAGGGGAGAGGGAGTGAGCTGTTTTACTTCCTTTGCAACTTGCCTGTGGTACTTAGCATGACATCTGGTGAAACCCTTGTGGAGGGGGTACGTGTTTGCTTACAACTGGAAATATTGCGTATTTCTACAGCAAGATTTATAGCACTTGTCTGACACCAAAAGAACGGGCAGGAATTCTGCAGGCTCGAAGTTGGTCTGGATTTCTCTGCCCATGTATTAATGGGCTTTTTGGCAGCTCAGGGTTCCACATGAAATGTAAATATTAGGCACTATTCGATTTCAGAGGATGTCTGCTTTGCCGTGCAAGTGCCGAAGGACCGGCAGGACAGACTGGGCAGGGCCCCTCTGCCCTTGAACCTCCAGTGCAGAGATAAAAGGAGAGCACTGAACAAAAACCTGGTGTTTCCAATACCAGCATTGTCCAAGTTCCTCTGCCCTTCCCAGTTGGAAGTACTCCCAGACACCGGAGCAACTAACACAAAGGGACTTTGAAGACTCTTTTTAAATGAATAGTAATGGTTTCCCAAAGGGAAATTAGACCGTTTTCCCAGAAATTGTTATGGTTTCCCTATCTGTATCAGTTTAAGGTCATTTTACCTCCAGTTGCCACCACATACCTCATCTTTCAACTCAGAAGAGTGAGAACAACTTAATGAACTGAACCACGGGCTCTTCACTGCAGTTCCTCTGTTTTTTTCATTCCAGGTGGTTGTTTTGTGGGGTAGGGAGCAGGACCAGTGAGTCACCCTCAGCACCAGCCTTCCTCAGCCCGCTCCTAATTCGGAGCACACTTGGTATTAATTACACGATAAAAAGTGACGCTCGGGAGCGGCCTCGGAAGTTGGGTCCTGCCTGCTCCGCTGGGCCTCCTCCTGGCCCGCCCCGGGTAGCGAGGGGCGCGGCGGGGCCGGCTCAGCCCTTCCCTTCCCGATCCCTCACAGGGAGGCGGGCGAGGGGCAGGGCTGGGGCGGTGCTACCGAGGCGCCGGCAGCCGCTGCGGCCGCTCGGTAGGTCGGGGAGTCCCGCCCGCCCGCCCGCCCGCCCGAGGTCTGCCCGGAGCCGCCGGCGGCCCGCAGTGAGTGGGCGCTGTGAAGCGAGGGAGGCGTGCGGGGTGGTGCGGGATAGCGGGACAGGGCGCGGGTGGGTCTGGGTGCGGGCCCGGCCCGGCTCGGCTTCCCGGGGAGGGGGCTCCACTCGGACCCCGCTTTACGGAGCGGCTCGCCCGGCAGTGGCTCGAAAGAGGGAAATGGCAATGAAAGCCGGGGGCCGGGAGGGGAGGTCTCGCTGCAGGGGTGGGGGTGTGAGCCCGCGGCGCCCCTGCGTGCGAGGGAAGTGATGTTGAGACCGACAGGATGAAACTGAACGTTGTGCGAAAGCTTCCCTTTCGCTGTCCTGCGAGCTCCGACGTTGGCTTCCAAAGTGATACACGGGCTCTCAGGCAGAGCAACCCCCAAACAAAACAATTCCAGGAGTATCAAAAGCGCGTGGGTTCCTTCTTGCAGGTTTTAGAGTCTAAAACCCCACGTTTTTAAGCGCTCTTCACTCCAGTGCGAACCCTGTGCATGGCGGAGCCGGACGGGTCACCCGCACAACCCCCTGCCGCGTCAGCGCTGCTCCCCTCGCCGCTGCCAGCGTGGCGTGCTGAGGGCTGGCAGCCGCTGCCCCTGGGTCAGCCCGAACAAAGCTCCCCAGTGTTTTACCTTGGGTAGCTAACGGTAAGGGCGGGAGGAGTGGCCTGGCTTGGAAATTACTTGCTGAAAATAAGAGTTAGCAAACTCCATAGCAGAGTGGGTTTGGTTGGGGACTGCTGGCGTGCTGTGCGAGGCGGCAGCCGGTATCTCACAGAGAGATCCGCCTCGGACAGGACATGGTATCCGTCACGCTCGATGTGCAGTCTCAGGGAGGGCTGGCTGCGAGCGGGGCTGTTGATTTCCACAGGACCTTCCCGAACAGACTGGTGGCTCTGTAAGGCTGGTGAGTGGCTTTACTGCTGCTGCTGAGCAGGAGAGCTGAGCTTGAAGTAGGAGATTGGATATTTCACACAAACAAAGTTTTATTGCTTGGCTTTGTAGGTTTTCCCTCTTGAGTTAATGACTGGGGATTACTGTGCCGACAGTAGGGTAGCTCTGTGCCCAGTGTGTTGCTTAAATGTGGTGTGGTCTGTGTTTTATGGTTCTTGGTGTTCATACGATTCAAAGTCTCTGGTTGAGATACATGTTTGCAGCTTGGATGTTTTGTTGGAGGATGTTAAGGGTTTTGTCATAAGCCTGAGCTTTCTTCCAGGGTACATCAGTGTTATTGCAGTGCTTATCCCAGTGTTCTCATGGCAGTATTGAATTTCCTTGTTGCTCCACAGTAGTTAAGAGATTATTTGGGAAAGGCTCTTGTCCAGCAACAGTAACAGCAGAGATTTAGTTTCCAGAGTGGTGTGATACGCTTTCCTTTTATGCTCCTAGGGTGAGATTTCCTGAGGACTCAGAGGTAGTAGTCCTTATGTGGAGCTTGGATTTCTGATTCAACTGCTTCTCCTTTACATCTCTTCCAAAATTATTCATCTCTCTAGATTGTATGCTTACTCCTTAGTTTTTAAGTGCATGCTTAAAAGTACATGCAGCTTCCCGTGTCTGGCAAGTGGGTGGGGGTCCCATACAGAGGGGATTCATGCGCATGAAATTTGGGAAAGTAATCTGGCAAACCGTGTTATGGAAAGAACACTCTTGATTTAGTTTCTACTCTTAAATGCTCGCATATTAAGTGCATAATATGTTATTTCAGTAGGTGAGTCAGATTCACAATCTGTTTTCTAGCTGTTAGGGTGACTGTGAGCTGAGATGGAGAAAAGAAGTCTGAGCCAGCAAGGCCCTTTGCTCCAGGTAGTGTTTTCCCAAAGGCAGGTGCTAGCTTTCCTCTGCTGTGTCATGGTGTCAATAAGAAAGGGCCAGATGGGATCCATAAGTAGTCAAAAGTCATTATATACCAAGAATGCAGTACCTTACCATATCTGTATTTTATGGTAGTCGCTTGATAAGAGAGATGTACTGGAAATTTTCTTCAGGTCTGTGTTGTAGTCTTTTACTTTATGTCTTAAATAAGGCTTTGTGGCAATTGGACACCCCTTGAAGATCTTACTCGGGGCAAAAGGAGCTTATAAAAGTGCATTGTAGGCACACAGATTAGTTACGTATAAATAGCATCTTTGAAAGGGAAAAACAGAGTAGCTCCCTTTCCAACTTAAATATACAAAATCTCCTTCAGTGTACTGAACCAAAGGGTGTTTGTTTGGAGTTTTTGGCAAGAACAAAACCCAGTTTTACTTGGCAAGTTTGGGCTAAGCGGTTACAGAAGTAATACAGAGCAACACTCTCAGGATGAAACGGGTGTTGGAAATGGTGTCATTTCCCGGTGTCCCGACATTGTGAGAGGCTGTGCAATGAAAGACCCTTTTCATGCCACAAAGAGAAAGTTGTCATGCAGGTCAAAGATCCAGTGTATGCTCGGAGTTTAGTAGCCAAGAAGAATGCTACTTAGAACATTTCTCTACTGTTTAGACATAACTGAGGAAGAACTGGGTATATGCAGATGTTTTACAGCACTGCCCAGAACTGAACTGAACTATCTGGGGTTTGTGGTGGTGTTCCCTGACATGGTAAGAAAAAAATCCTATGTTTGAGTGAGCTGTCTACAAGTTCTGGGTGAGGGATAGGGGAATCAGAATTTCCATTACTAAGATGCTAGAAAACAAACTCATTCAAGCAATTTGCTACTGTCCTGGGTTCAGCAGGCTTAAACCACAACAGCTACACAAGAAATAGCCTGGGGTGAATTTTTCCCTCAGCTTTTACAGTATTGATTTGCTGAGCTTTGGGTGAGAAGCTTTTTGATTTGTAACTCTGCTTGTGAAATGAGTAAAACTGCTTGAGTAAAGACAACTACAGAATGTGCTTATGCAGAGTAGTGCAGACATGTGCTTTCATTCACTATGTTCACTTCATTTACCCTGTGTAGCATTCGCTTTTTCTTGTAAGTGCTATAAATAATCCCTGCAATTATATACAGGGGAGTGAGATTAGTAACCTAGAAGGTAGGGATGGGTTCTCTTCCATATGAGTTTCTTGTGGGATCTTGGTATGTAATTTCTTGCACTGCGTATTTCATAGAATAGGTGAGGTTGGAAAAGACCTTTAAGATCATCAGGTCCAGCCTTCACCTGAGGTTTCCTCTCAGATATTAATTCTTCATATGGCTCTTTGAGCCCATAGTTATTCTAAAACACATTAAAGATGCTGAATCAGAAGGCATTAGCCAAGGGACATTCATCATTTATAAGGTGTCTGTAGGTATGTGATCCAGTAATTCTGTATGTAAGGCTGCGAGATTACAGTTTGGAATAATAAAGAAAGCATGCAGGCAAAACTAAAGCTTTCTTCTCTTACCTTCTGTTGCACTAGGTGATTGACTTGTCTAACAAGAACAGACACAGAGGCATAAATGCATGGGAAAATTTAGCCTGAAAAATGTGTTGTTTTTTTGTTTTGTTTTTTTTGAGTTCTGGGTGAACTTACCCTTGCATCCAGAGCTGTTGGTTCTCCAAGTTGTAAGGGTCAGGATGAAAGGAAGACCACAGATACCAGAAACAGGACTTGAGTTCAGACTATGGAATTGTCCACTTAGGTCTCACCTAATCCAGTAAAGCATTAAACCTTTATTTTTGGAGTGTGACTTTCCTTAAAGCAGCTCCTCTGCCCGTGCTCAGAACAGCGTGCACAAAGAGGAACGTGCTCTGCAGTTGTTGTGCTTAGAGCTGTTTGCAGCTTTCCCATTTGCAGACCACCTTGCAGACCCCATGCATGTGGTTCAGATGAATTAGGCATGGAGTTGGAGATATGGCACAGGGCAGGAGCTGAAGGAAAGCACTGATGCACTACCAGATGTGGAAAATGAAAGGTGGGCATTTAATCAAGTATCTTGCACAGAGCATGAGGCCTGGTAATGCTGTTCGGCCTGCCCTGTGCATCGTACAGAATCTGATATCATACCAGGAAGGCATAAAGCCTTTCTTACACAGAAAATCCATCCCTGGTGGTGCCATCATGCTATTCACAGTTTTGGAGCCTGGGAGGTCTCTGTGCACAGCACAGCTCCTTTTCAGTGCAGTCCAGCAGCAGGCTAGCCGAGTGAGCTGCGTTTGGTTGGTTGTAAGGGTTCAGGAACTTACCCACCAGTCACTTGCTGTCTCTGTATCTGAAGTGAATAAAAACGCTGTTTGGGAGTCCCAGTCTGCAGCAGCAGATAGAATGCCTCTGGTATTTTCTGTTGCGTATCTATCAGCATCAACCCTGTCTGTTGACTTTAGATAGCTGTCTGCACACTGTGACCTGGTAGCTCTAGTGAGAAGTATGTGACAATGTAAAGTGGAAGAGTTGGTTTACTTGGGTTGAATTGCTTAATATTTAGAAGGCTGTTCTAGAAATCTCTGAATATTTTTATCTGAAAAGAGAAGCCAGTCTAAATGTTAAGTATTGCAGCTGCTTCTGCTCTGGTGTGTATTCCTTTGATATGGTTAGGATCATTTGCTTAGGTTGTTTCAAGACAGTAAGAACTTGGGTTGATATTGTCTTTCTAGCCAAAAGAGCTGTAGGTAGTTAATCTCGGTTTGAGCTAGCAGGCTGCTGGAAGCGTGGCTGTGTGTAAACCATCGTGTAGGGCTGATGCAGGGCACTTTGGATATGACAGCATCAGACCTGGAAAGAGAGAATGAAAATTGTACCCTCCAGCCAGCTAAACTGAGGTCTAAAAGAAGACATTTCCTCTCTGAGTAACTGTAGGATCAGTGCCTTGTAATAGGCTGACTGCAGGAGAAACTGGTGGGTAAGTGTCATGCTAAAACTCACTTCTCTCACTTCTCCTCTCATGCTTTTGTGAGACTTACCCTGAAAAGATAGTAGCAGGGAATGTACTGTAGCTACTTGTGAAATGGTGATTAAGTGAACCAATTTTAAGCTGTGGCATCCTCAGCACTGCTAGCTCCAGTACTGATTTGGTAATTAAGTGGTAAACATTGCGTAGAACATTAATTTGGCTGATGTTTGCACTGCACAAAGGTGTAGTCAGCACATAAGGGATATGTTGTTTATTAGCACTCCAGGGCTGAGGCAGTATTGCAAAGGGAAGCCTGGGAGTTAGACTTTTCAGGGTACTGCTGCTGTCTCTGGCCTTGACCTCCACTGTAGCACCAGGTCAATGGGATTCTGGCTGAGTTTTACCGACTTCAACATACAAGTAGTAGCAGGTATTGCAGCTGAAAGAGAGTTTTCTGGATGATTCTGGAAACTGGGAGTGCTGTCTGAATGCTGGCAATCACTGTTGGTATGTATCATCAAGTTTCGTTAGGGCTTGTTTTGTTAAGACTTTGCTCTTTCACAATGAGGCAATATGTTTTAAGTATTAAATGTGCTTTGATATAATTACCTTGTGATTATATCAAATACTAGAGCGTTAATATGATTTCCACTTGTATTTGTTGTTTTGTTCAGATGTAATTTACTTGAAAGCCCGCTTTTAAGTGTGAAGAGCATTCTTTGCAATGTTGTTGGCTGAAAGAAAGCAACTGTTTAACAACTGCATCTTCTTGGATAACAAATCTTTACAATATTTGACGGGTGTAATCACTGCATTTTAAAATACATATGAGATTTAGACAAGGCTGTGCAGTGCTAGAAATATACTAATTGTAGTTAATTTTCAGCAACTGAATTGAAGTAACTTTTGGACTATAATGAACCCCATATCTTATCTTTGTGTAGAACAGGTTGCAGGTACTGATTTTATCAAGGAAGCCTCCCAGAGAGATGGTGCTGATGCATTCTTTTCCATTTCACAACATTGCCAGCTGATTCTATGGGATATCAGCTTCCCTCCTAGGGAAGGTGATTCCTTGCTTAACAGGGATATAATGGGGAGGCTCTTTGCAAGTTTGCTTGGAAATTGCTTTCTCTGTGCTGAGCTAAGACTTGTAGCCCACTCTTTTCATAAATACTGTATTCACTCTATTAAAGAGTCTCATGTAGCGCATTCATTTATGGTTTAATGAAAACGATCCTTCTTTGCGTTTTTAGGGAGTCCTTGAGATGACAGCAATGGCAGAATTCAACAGCATCCATTCAGTGACTGAAATGCCAGAAGGAGACAATCCTAAAAGCGGTTTCCATCATGGAATGTTCTTGGAACCCCAAGAGAAGAAGAAGAGCATGAAGGCTCTGGTGGTTAAGCAAGCAAAGAAAACTTGTAGCTGCACTCCAGCCAAAGTTAAAGACTTTGTTTTAAGTTTCTTTCCTGTCTTGCAGTGGCTTCCTAAATACAAACTGAGAGAGTACCTACTGGGAGACATAATGTCTGGTGTGATTGTGGGGGTCTTACTAGTCCCACAGTCAATTGCTTATTCTCTCTTGGCTGGGCAGGAGCCTATTTATGGCCTTTATACATCCTTTTTTGCTGGCATTATTTATTTCATATTTGGAACTTCCCGCCACATCTCAGTTGGCATCTTCGGTGTGATTTGCCTGATGGTAGGACAAGTGGTGGATCGTGAGATACAGAGAGCTGGCTATGATGCAGAGCCAGCAGCGCTCAGTGGCCTCACAGCTACAGCAGCATATGCAAACACCACCAGTTCTCCTGTGAATCGGACATCACAGGAGTTGCTCTGTGATAAAAGCTGCTATGCAATTACAGTGGGAGCCACTGTGACCTTCATAGCTGGAGTTTATCAGGTAAGAGGAGGTGGACAAACAGGTATTCTGTGGAAATAGTTTTAATTCTTTAGGTCATTGCCACATGAACAGACTGCTGGGCTTGCATGTTTCCTTAATCTGCATCCCAGGGGAGTGGACACAAGGAGCAATGGAGATCTACAGTTCTTGTTGTGCAAGAAGCTCCCGTGTCCTCTCCTTTTTTAATAGCATTTTGTGCTTGCATTGCTACTTTGTTGGGGACTGCAAGGACCTGCACATAACTACATGCTGCTCTCACCTAGTAACTCACTACCTTCCTCACTGTGACTTGGAGCTATTTTGTTTTTCTCTGGCTTATAGCATAAACCTCCATTTCATTTGGCCCAAATGTGGTGTGTCAGCTTCTCATTCCAGACTCCAATTATTTGCCTTTTATCAAAAGTAATCTGGAAAGTAAAAGATTTTCCTGGACAGTAAGAGATTTCTCCAATTGATTTTTATTTGTCTTTGTGTCTGTAAACCTTGGCTCTTTGTCTGTTCAAAGCAAAACAATACCGAATATACAATATGGAAAGGATACTATTGAGAGGATAAAATATATTTTAAATAGAACTTTTAATTATTACCTTATTAAAATATGTTATTCAACAATATTTTACCATTCTGTCTCTACCTAGTCCTAGAATTCACTGCATTTGTTCTTATGGTGCCCTCCCTCCAGGGTGATAGCTCATCACACTATACATAGGTGGGAAAGCAAACGTACATGTGACACTTGTTTTGGACACAATCTTGGACTCTTTCCTGTGCTGCATGTTAGAGTTGAGTAATTTTGGCAATATTCTGGGACTCCTGGGGTGCAGGGGATTTTGTGTTTCATCACTGTAGGATGGATGCAGTTTTGGAGTTGTGCATTGTGCATAATATTCTTTGCAAGTACAAGTACAATTAAGTTTCTGTATATGAAGGAGTCAAATTACCCAAATGTTAGGTATATTCTATCTGCTGCCCTTTCAACTAGCATTAATAAAAATTAATGACAAGGCACTTAAAAATATTGTCTAATCTGCATTGCAAGAGTTTGCAGCTCATACTACCCATGTCAGATGCACCAAGCTTTATGCAGTGCAAAGGACAGCTGTTATGCCACAGTCTGTACTTTTGTTGCAGGTTGTGAGCTCCAGTGTAAGTCAAAGACAATCAGAAAGGTGTTGGATCTTTGCAGAGTTTACAAAGTTCAGAAGAACTTGAGAGAAATGGCAAAGGTAGTGGGAATTTCAAATGCTTCCCTCCCCACCCCAGGCTTGCCTTTCTTGCCTGCTAGGGTAACAAGAAGTTACAATCAAACCGAGCAAACAATAAACACAGGTTCAGGGTATGAAGACCCCCCACAAAAGCCTGCTCTGTGTTAGAAATGCATTTCATTGAGGAGCAGCTGAATGCTGGAGGCTGTTTTCTTCATGCTTAGACCATGCCTTGTGCTCCAGAGCCCCACAGTGATGACATGTCCAAGATCTGCATCTTAATCTGTTGTGTGGTTGATCCTTTCCAGGTGGCCATGGGTTTCTTTCAAGTGGGCTTTGTCTCAGTGTACCTCTCCGATTCATTGCTGAGTGGATTTGTCACGGGTGCCTCCTTCACCATCCTGACCTCACAAGCCAAGTATCTCCTGGGTCTAAACATTCCAAGGACCAGTGGCATTGGCTCCCTCATAACCACATGGATAAACATCTTCAGAAACATACACAAGACCAACGTCTGTGATCTCATCACCAGCATCTTGTGCTTTCTTGTACTTATCCCAACCAAAGAGCTTAATGATCATTTTAAATCCAAGCTCAAGGCTCCAATACCAGTTGAACTAGTCGTGATTGTGGCAGCTACTCTGGCATCTCACTTTGGGAAGCTGAGAGAGACTTACGGCTCAAGTGTTGCCGGACGCATCCCAACTGGGTTTCTGCCACCCCGTCCTCCAGACTGGAACCTGATTCCTAATGTGGCTTTGGATGCTATCCCCTTAGCTATTATTGGCTTTGCCATCACTGTCTCCCTCTCGGAGATGTTTGCCAAGAAGCATGGTTACTCTGTGAAGGCCAACCAGGAAATGTATGCCATTGGCTTCTGCAACATCATTCCTTCTTTCTTCCATTGTTTTATAACAAGTGCAGCTCTTGCGAAGACTCTTGTCAAAGAGTCCACAGGCTGTAGGACACAAGTGTCTGCCATGGTAACTAGTTTGGTAATCCTATTAGTCCTCCTTGTGATTGCACCTTTGTTTTACTCCCTTCAGAAATGTGTCCTTGCTGTCATAACCATTGTAAACCTCAAAGGAGCCCTGCAGAAGTTCAGGGACCTGCCAAAGATGTGGCGTTTGAGCAGAGTGGATACAGTGATCTGGCTAGTTACTATGGCAGCCTCAGCCCTCATCAGTACTGAGATTGGTCTTTTGGTTGGTGTTTGCTTCTCTATGCTCTGTGTCATTTTCCGAACTCAGAGACCTGAGGCACCACTGCTTGGTTGGGTGGCGGAGTCCGAGACGTATGAATCCCTGTCTGCTTACAAGAACTTGCAAACCAAGCCAGGAATTGTGGTGTTCCGTTTCGAAGCACCCCTCTACTATATCAACAAAGAGTGCTTTAAATCCATCCTGTACAAGCAAACTGGGGTCAACCCAGTCTGGGTGAAAGCAGCAAAGAAAAAGGCAGTAAAGAGAATGCTTAGAGAGAAAGAGGTAGATTCTGGTGGCAACCAGACCAGCATCTCCATGGATTTTGTCTCTGAACCTCTGGGATTTCACACAATAGTGATTGACTGTTGTGCAGTACAGTTTCTGGACACGGCAGGAATACGCACGCTCAAAGAGGTCTGCAAGGACTACAGGGAGATAGAAGTCCAGGTGCTTCTGGCCCAGTGCAATCCTTCAGTGAGGAGTTCCCTGATCCGAGGAGAATTCTTTAAAGAGGGGGAAGACCACCTTCTCTTCCACAGTGTGCACCAGGCTGTGGACTTTGCATTGGGGGCACAGCGGCACAGCGGGACTAGCGTTTGTAAGAAGTAGCTGTGGAAAGGCAGCAAGTTGGAACAAAGCTTGGGGGAATAATGGTGGTGGGTCTGTATATCTGTGCAATATATATGCACTCAGATAAAATGAAGCAGAGTGGTTGTTAACACACTGATTACTTTGCGGTCTGTTTTGATGCTTTAAATTTGCCTGCTGGGTATAGTGATTCATTAGGTGATATTGAATGAAGGCAATTCTTAACTTGATTATGGTCAATCTGTGAAATCTTAAAGGGTTGTCATATGGTTATTCATCTCATTTTTCTTCTCTCTAGAACTTAACATGTCTTGGTTCCCTTCTAAGTTTTGATCATAAGCCTCGTAAGTCTTCATTGCAACCCAGTCTCTATGGATGGGATTTTGAAGTAGTCTGGGTACCCTGTCCAACTGAACAATGAGAGACAACTCATTTCTTGTCGCTCATTCTGGCATTGCTTTTCCATAACACCACACCCTTATATTTTCTAAGTAATGACTGATGGGGACTGTTTGCTCTAGTCTGTGCTGTTGAGTGATTGATGGGTGATTTTGTAACGTCCTGAATTTGAGACAGATAGATAAATGAAATGCAAATGTGCATGAAGAACTTTCTTAACGAATAGCTCCTAACAACCTGTCACCTCCAGAGGCTTTGCCAGTGTCTCCTGAGAGCCTACTACAGCCAGGCAGCAAGCCATGGTTGTCTCATTTCTACACAGGCCTTTACATGCCATGAAAGCTTGCCTTTCAGCTTCAACTTTTTAATGTTTTTTTTATTCAGAGGTGACTGTTTAGAAATCTTTCATGCTTATGATCAGGCATTTGTTTTCCTAAAATTTAACAGCTCTTAGAATTGTGGGCATTAGATACTGAAAATGCTTAATTCTTGAGTTTCAATAGAAAACAGTCCCTTTTAGCCAATTTTATATGCCAGGCAGACAGGATCACAGGCACCAAAACGAAAAGGGCCAAATAGATATCCAACATCTGTCTAATTTTGTCAGTGTTGAACAGATTTCACGTGTGAATGCAGGTTTTGTTGACTGTAGCTCCTTTACTCATGCTCTGTCATGGGCTTTGTGTAATGGGGATGGACAGGACAAGAACTACAGCCGCTAGAAAAGGAGACAGAGAAATTCTGTGCTGAATGTTAGTGTAAATAAACCTTTGTACTTTGGCTTTAATTATGCAGAGCAGTGAACAGTACCTGTTCTTTATGCTAAAACACAAAAGCTGGTTAGGAAGAGGTTCTCTTTTCTTACACCAATAATACAACTATGAAAGCAGAATTGAGAGATTAACAGCTTAAACTGAGTTCCAGCTGTATGTAGTGCACTGTACATCCTTGGAAGATGGTGGTTTCTCCCAGGTTCTTCACAGCTTTTTGAAAGGGAAAAGTTGCTCTATAAATATAGTATTCTCATCCTTAATCATTCAAGAATGAGTCAGGAGTCAAAAAGGAATAAAATGCCATCTGAATTATGAACTGTTTTCTAAATGGAAATATATTTTGAGTTTAGTTTTTTTCCTCGGATAGGAGTACTAACTATTCTTCTTATGGAAGCCGGTATGTCTGTGACATATCACTTCACACTAGGAGCTGGGACCTCAAGGATTAGATAGCAGAAAGATGAGTCCTAGGATCTGGCAGCGTTTGTATGTTACTGAAGTTAGTACAGTTTTGTAAGACATCACAGCAGCATATAGCAATGGGGGGGAAGGTGGTGGGTGGCTGTTGCATACTTTGAAAAGGAGTACATGACTGAGATCTGTGCTTCATGTGTTTGAGAACTGGCAGTGTTAAGGAAACAAATCTCCCAAGTATCAGAAAATGCTAAAGATTCTGCAGTAGTCAAAGCGCACAAATGCTGTTCTTTCTCAGCCCTAAGGCGTGTGTATACAAGGAGGAGAATCCCAAACAGCTACTGCTGAACTTTTTTCTTTTCTGTAGTAATCTCCTTCATGAACTTTCTTATTCTGGGCTAAGAATCCTTTATGCGGTTTGGATAATTGTAACTGAATTGGTATTACCAGAGTGGATTAGCCTAAGCCATATAAAAGCAGTGAGTGGAGTTAACGCCTATGTACGGAGTGAGCGCAGGATGGGAATTATGGTTTAATTCCTCACCATACCTGTTTTCCATTGAGTTCCCATTCAGAGCCGCTGGGTTGGTGTTGAGAGAGCTGGCACAACCATGGCAGCTCCTGCAGCTGGGTGCTGGCTTGGGAAGGGTTTGGCACCATGGCTGCTTTGGCACTGTGCTGGCTGGTGGCAGGGGAGCTGCGTAGACCTGCACACGTGCATTCAGCTGGTGGCAGTGCTGTGTGCTGGGGGAGTCCCTTTTTGGCACAGTTTGTTCACGTTACCAGAAAGCATCTCTAGAGCTGTGAACAAAAGCCTCTGCCCCTTTTAGGCACTGATTTTTTTTTTTTCAACTAATGTTTTTCAAGAGAGCAGAGCGGTGCCAGAGAGCAGAACGTCTTCTCAAAGCCCTGATGAAAAACTGCAGTACGGCCAACAGTAAGCAGTGTGTGCTGTTATTGCATGTTTCTGCCTACCTGCAGCTACGTGTTCTCACCCCTTTACCCCATAGGCATGGGCAGCTGAGAGGGAGAGGATGACTGAGCAGCTGGCCAAGAGACTTCCTTTGAGGCAGGTCAGTTATGGGTGGGATAGAAGTAAAATAGAAATGGCTCTGGCTGATCCTTTACACTCACAATTCCTCTCTCCTGTACTCTTTTCATGCTGCCCAGGTGGAGATATTTTGATCTGTGACCATGCACAGATTTGTGTAGCCAAATTCTGAGAAAGGGAAAACCAGTAATTATTTATTAAAAGATATTCTTTCAAATCCATTTCTACCTGTGTCAGGAAGAGAGGAATAGCAGTGTTGCTTCCAAGAAGTACACACTTTACACAGCTAGCAGGATGCATATTTGTAGCTCCTGGGCATCTGTTTGCATAAAAGCACAATAAAATAGCCATAAATTGATTTTCAAATAATTAATTTAGATTACAGCTGAAAGATATACTGGAGTGATTTATTGTATTTGGCTTCACTGCTGTTTCTGCAGACATGACTGGCAACATAGCCTCTAAATTCCATTTTAAGCAAAACACAAGAAGCCGTACTAAAATGCAACAGCAAAAGCAGCCAGTCAACCAAAAGAACAACTTTTAATGTTCTTAAAGATAACATCCAGAGGTCATAGTATTAATAAGACTAGATTAATACATAGAGCCCTGCTTAAAACGGAACAGAAATAGATGGCATTTTCCAGAGAGTTTGGTATAATAGAGAGTCCTTTGGATTAACTGAAGATTAGAGTTTATCATGTCTGGAATTACTTAGAACAGTGGGGTTTCAGCCATTTTTCTTTGAGGCATAGAATAATTTTTAACAGAGACATGAAACTGATTTAAGTCTACTGGCAAGAAGCACATTTTGCTTAAGTATGTTTATGGACCCTTTAGAAATAATCCAATTTCAAGTTTAAGAATTAGGGACCACTGGTTAAAAATAGTTGCCCTCAAGAATTTGTTTTATAAAGGAATTTTGTGTATCTACACATACACATATATGGGTGTATGTATTGTATGTATGTGGATACACACACTTTTGCTGCTCTATTATGAATGCAGCAGCTATATATATCCAGTTATACTTTTGCGGTACTTGGGTTCTGCCTTCTGCTGTTTTGAATGAGCAGTGGAAAACATATACCAGATTTTATAAGGGGAAATCTGCTGCACCCACTGCCTTCTACACTTTCTCTTATCCCTGCCTCTCAGTGTAATTTGTAATCTATAGGAAGAGGGAATCTTGGAAGGATTGTGTTTGGGTTTATGCATCTGTCAGCAATAGGAATGTTCATCCCAGGTGCAACCTTCAGAACCCAAGGCCAGAGTGGGAGATGGTGTAAATCAGTTAATCTCCATTCCCAAACATTCTAATCAGCAATTAATCAGTCTAAATGAAGAACTAAGATCATTAACACATTCATTAATGACAACAACACAGCATTATGGAAATTAACACTCACAGTCCCAGCTATACTAAAGACTCCTGAGAAATGTCTTTATTAGTCTCCTGCTAAATGTCAGACTCTATTTTTATGGTTATTGCTGCTATAGATAGTGGGCTCAGTTCCTCCTCATGTGGCGGTTGCACTAATAAATGTTTCACTTGTGTGAATGTTTTGACATGGAAACAATTTTCAGTCCAATTCAAAAACCAGGAAGAGGTACTGCAGTGGGTCACGTGGTGCTTAGTTTTGGATTTATAATGACATTGCCAACCATAGTCTTGTGTGATTTAGTGATCCTGATTTCCATTGAAGCTCCATCTGCACCTCCCAAATTCAGTGTGAGACCCACCTCCACCCTCTTGACACTTCTGTGTTTTGCTGTAAGACTTTGCATATAATCAACAGTAAATAGAAGAATCATTGCCTTGGTGTATATTGCTATTACATGTGACCTGCCAGATCTTTTGGTGAGGATAAAGCTCCTGAAGAGAGTGTGTAAACCAACCCCACACCCCCATCAGTTCCCCAGATGCTGGGGATGGGAGAAAGGGGACTGTGGGCAGCTGGCAGGGGAGTACCACAGTTTCTTTCCCTCCATAAACACACTGGAGCCTCAGTCTGGTGTGGGCTGTGTGAGGGTTTGTGTAGCTGAAGGAGTAACAGTGCTGCCCAGAAAGGATGGATAAGGTGGAGGTGTCTTTATTATGGGGCTCCTGTGTTATGCAGCGATGTGTCTTTGTAATGAGTGTAATAATAACACAGGACCTAGTTCCTGCTCAGTGCTGCTGCATGGGTCACTGTCCTGAACTACATATGTAAGTTATATATGTCTCCACTTCCTTCTGAAAGAGATATAAAAGTCTGTTGCTGGTGCATCTGAAATACAGAGGTGAGGTACTGGGGACAGGAAAGCATCCTGCCTGCCACATCATGGTTTTGAGCTGGGCAATACCCAGCTGCCTCCCACAGCCTTGTGCTGAGGTCAGCTGTGTACTCTGCCTGTGCCAGGTCCTAGATCTAGGTCTTACGTGGTGGGGTCCATTCTTTCTCTGGCCAAACCTCTCTTGAGAAGGCCAGCAACACTGCACGTCTCCTTGGGTGCAGTTCCCTGCGCCTTTTCACTCAAGGGCTGTGCCAGCTCGCTCTTCCCCACCATGCTTTGGCTACTTGCTGTCATCTCCAGCGCTGCTGGTGCAGATTGCATTTAAGCAACTAGAAGACTTGTCACCCACACGTCTCCACTCTGAAACCAGCGCAGGAACACCCATGCTGGCCCTGCAGCTGGGCACACTGGTCAGCACTGACCTTAACGTCCCAGCAGTGAGGAGCATGGCTAGGCTGTAGGGAGCTGCAGGTCATAGAAACTGGAACAGGAGAAAACCTTTGAGCTGAGGGTGAAACTCTTCAGGCAGATAGTTTGTTTTAGGGCATTATCTTATGTTGCTTTTTTTTTTCACATGCTTTGGAAAGGTGATTACATGATTGAGGTGATTTACATTTTGATACTAATATGGTTAAGCTAATGAAGCTGTGACAAGCACCTGCTGCTCATGCCCTCCAAGGTGCTTTGTATCTGCGTAACTTATTTTGCTTTGCTGAGTCTTGATATAAGATACTGTTGTGAGACTTCCATATTGATGTAACTGTCCACACTAGAAGAGCTTTGCACTTCTACTTGCTGGCATAGAAAAAGGGAACAGTATCATTAGTGCAGACTTTGCACTGTGAATGACCTTGTTAAGTCCCAAGAATGACTTGCACTTGGTTATCATGTTTGTAAGCCTTTGTAGGATCAGCTGCTGATGTGAAAAATTACCTGATCTTTTACTTTCAGTCAGATTCTACCTGAAGGAGAAATAATTCTGAATCTTGCTTTTTCTTCTGAGATCATTACAATGCTAAAAGTGAGGCCTCTGGTTAGGTAAAATGGCAAATATTTTTATTTTTATATATATATAAAAATTCATAGTATAATAAGTACTTTTCTGGTTTATTTTCTATAGATTGTATATGCTAAGGCATTTTGCTGTTCTCTAGTGGGCAAATACAGAAAGTATTTCAGCATTGGATGGAGAATCAAATTTTCACTGAGTATATTTACTGCCAAAAATATGTGTTTGAATTCCATCTCTCTCCAGCTTTGAAAGCACTTGGCTCTTAGTCTGGCTTTCAAATGATCTCAGGACTCCACAGGAAGATAGGAAGTGAAACATTTTGCTGGACTCGGGTGCAAGTTTTTTATGTCTAATTTTTAACTTAAGGAAGTACATTTTCTGTATAATTGAAATGCAGCTGAAACATGGTGAAGGAGAGGTAAAGCTTCATGTTTTCTGGGAAGCGCATGATGCTTTGAGTTCATCGGCCTCTTGCGTCCCTGACCATCATGTCTGGTGTCTTGCTATGCTCCAGGGTATGATTTTTTTATTTAATTATTTTAAATTCAGAGTAATTTTAGACATTTGTGACATAATGTTTTTCAGAATAAACCAAATGGCAGATTTTGCCTGGAGCAGCTTTTTCAGACTCGAGAACCATTTTAACCAAACAGGACCTCCTGGAGTAGATCACACTGGTCGTCTGACCTCTAACCAGGTTACAAAATGGTTTATTTGAATAACGTGGAAAAGTTGTATAGAATGTATTAAGCATCGCTTCTTACTGTGACTAATTTGTGCAGTAAAACCAAGGTATGATGTTTCCCCCAGTGCAGTGGTGGAATCAAGGGTGCTGGGGGAGCATCAGCCCACGCTGGGTGGCTAACACAGGCCTTGCCTTGTGCCCAGCATGGGGGAGATGTGCTGCCATCAGCTCCTTGTTGGGTGCTGTGCTCACCGACCAAACGATTGTGATCTGAATTGTATTTTGTCCATCATCATCTATTGTCCTGCAATCAGCTATGGTGTCAGAATCAGCATGTTGTTGACTCTCCTTTACGCTGTTAGATCTCTTATCAGTTGTCATTTTTAAACACTAATGTGCCTTACTGTCATTGTAGAAGATTTGTTAGCAAGAATTTTCTATCAAATATGGTAAAATCTTTGGGATTTCTTGATCACCATTAAAAGATTGTATTTGGTTTTTCTGTTGTCAGACATGTGCTTACTAGCTTAGGAGATGCTGCAGCTATACATTTTAGAAAGAGAAGCCACACACATTTGAGCATTGAGTCCCCAGTCCCCATTTCTCCTGACAGTTGTGCTCCATCGCTGCTGTAAGGTTCAGTGTATACACAGCTGTGTGCGCTGCTCTCCTGCACTGTATGGTACACACATAATAGGCACACATGGAAGTTTCCTGGCAATGAAAACGGGGCATTGACTGACGATATGTGGCCAGCAGCAGGATTTCACCTTGTTCTGACTTCAGTTCTCTGTACAGCCAGCCTGCAGCTTGTCTCATAACAAGTGATAAGCAATGTGATGGCAGTGATGTGCCGTTTGCCGGTGAGCAGCACCCTCCTGTGGGCCAGGTGATGCAAGAAACGACGGATTTCTTCAGGTTTGGTGCTACTTGCACTTTACAATATGTGTACTTACAGCACGTGGTATTACAGATTTAGCCTTACAAAATAGCTGCAATGTATTTCAGTGTTGACATAACAGGTTATATGACTTGGTCAGGTCATGGCCAGTCAGTCAGAGCAGAAATTAGAGCAGCTCTGGGTGCAGTTCTGGGCAGTTACTGTGAGCATTATCATGTCCTTGAGTTCTGCAAAAGCTTTTCTTAATCCAGCACTGCTCAGCTCTTACTTGAGGATGCCTTTTACCTTAGGAAACCTCAGAGCACATGGTATTATTTTTGTGTTGATGCCAAAAGAGCCGTAGGAGCACTCAATTATGGGGAATGCCAGCAAGAGCTTTCTGCTTTCTTGAAAAGCATGGGACAGCCACTGCCTTCAGCTGAATGAGTGATTCATGCTGATACAGAGCTAAGGGGCAATCAGCAGCACCTTTATCTGTGCTCAAGGCCCTATCTTACCTGTGAACAACTAATTCTCACCAAACATATTCCTGCACTAGAGGAGACCCCCCAGCCCTGTCTCCTGGGTCACAGGCTGGTGGAAGCTGATTGGGAAAGGTGCATCAGGGATCCAGTCCATGCAGAGCCCTGCCAGTGCCTGGTAAGCAGCAGGCTAGAAACTTCCTGAGCACTTACACCTTTGTCACAGCTTTTGCAGCACTTCTTCACGAGGCTTCCTTCACATTTCCTTTACTATCATCTTGACTCCCACCACACCCTGTGGCAGCCTGCCTCACTGCTTTGTTGTGTGGAAAAGTTTCTCCTTCAGTTTGAAATCTAATAGGAGATCCAGTCTTGTATAGCAGGTAGTTGGAGATGTGCTGCAGTTCCTGGGCTTCTTGCCCATCTGCAGGAACATCTTTCTGTCCTGTGGTGTTGAGATGTACCCTCCATAGCTTGTCTGTCCACTGCCTTGGTGTGCCATGAGCTGGTGCATGCTGCTGGGAGAGCTCAGGAGCCCGCGCAGCTCTGCCTGACACAGAGCCTGCCATGCTGCAGTGGGGCAAGTTGTACCTACAGGTAGGGTGACCCTGTGAGCCAGCCAACAGCTACAGGGGGAAGCAGCATCCCGCCGACACGGCCTTGGTGCCATGGGGTCTCGTGAGCAGCACACACGGGTCGAGCCTGAACTGATGCCAAATGACCTGGGCTGAATGCCAGTTCAGTATGAAATAAAGATGTGCCTCCCTGACTTTATTTCACTGCATTCATCTGTAATCTATTTAATCTGCTTACAGAGCCATTATAGCATTTGCAATTACCAACTTGATCATTTGGAAAAGGGTCATAAGCACTGGACATTCGTCATGCAGAGAAAAACATGAAAACAGCATGAAGTGCCACAGAAGTTAGCAGGGAATTATTTTTACCCTCCTTATATAAATTGGGAGTGCTCCTCAAATGCTTACTGTGATGTGCTTGGAAATGTTTCTTTTCTCCATCTTCTAGGAGTGGGCATCAGTGCTGGAGGAAGGGCTTGTAGCAGGATGTTAGCAGAGTGGACCGCTGTGTACCGTCCTCAGTGGCTGCACAGTTGATGGGTATGTGACCTCTGCAGCCACATTCTTTTAGATCTGCTACCTCTGCACTTAGTTGCTTTGCAAGGACATATGGTCCATCTCACAGCTTTCAAAATAGACTAAAAAACATGCCTTGCATGTCTGTCTGCACGGTTAATTGCTGGGAGTGAGCTGTAGCTTAAATAGTTGCTCTTTATCATGTTTATTTGTAGATTCCCTGGTCCCTCTCAAACTCTGGAGTGCTGTGACTGCATTACCATGTGCAGTCACAGGGTGAATGACATTTTTTGCCTCATAGTATTTGTGTCTGGAGAGAACTTCGTCTTCGCATTGCATGCTCTGCTGTGATCCCTGTGTGTTAGCATAAACTTCCTTGCAAAGTAGTGGGAAGCTGCAAAAGCTGTTCTATTTTCTGGGAAGTCCTGGTGCGCTGCTTCCACGTTCTCTGTTGTTATCTCTTGCAGAAATGTGAATAATTGCTTCCCAAGAAACCATCCAAGAGGTTCTGTTCAGCTTTTTTGCCTTTGGATGCTTCTGTGGCATTTTGCTCTGTCTCAGCAGTGGGACCAATTCTGGGCTTATCTCCTTTTCCTTCTATTTCCCTTAAGAAAGAAGATGATTTGCAAATGTATATGTATTGACATTTCATTTCCAAGTGGAACTGATCCAGCAGCCATCTGAAAAGACTGTCAAGTCCCATATCTGAAGGGAAAGACAAGCATCTCTCTTAGATACCTGGCACCATTACCTGGCTCGCTTGCCTTGTTTTTCTGTAAAGCTGCGTGTGATAAGTAACTGTGGAGCAGAGGGGTGCAGCCGTGTACTAAGCCAGGCTGGCCCATTTATGGAGCCAAGACATGTGTGCTGCTATTCGACAGGCTTCCAGAAGCCAAACAGTTGTCAATGTATTTACAAGCCTTAAGGCAAATCAAAAATCCTTGTGCAGTGCAGTTAGCTCTGTTCTAAAGGAAATGAGAGATGCCAGCTCATCCTGCTAAACAGAATTGGTGCATGGACACAGTGGCGAGACTTGAATTTGCAGCACTTACCCACTGCAAAGTGCCTGGGTAACAATCTCAGACACAATTTCATGGGTTTTTTCTGCTTTAGGATAGGAAAGACAACAGCCCACTACTGCATTTTCCATGTATCTGGAACTTGGACTTGTGCTGCTCTCTTGCTAGCCTGCTGCAATGGCTGTTGCATAGATGGATGCTACATTCCTCATATACTATGCCGTAAGTGCAAACTTGGGATTTCATGCTTTCTGCTTGTCTTGAAAACAGAGGGTGCCATGCTGCTGGCAGGCAACATACTGCCTACAGTTGCATGGTTCAGGCTGATACCATCTGCCCAACCCAGCCTTGCCCAGAATGGAGCTAAACAGTTAAGTGAGTTTATAGTGGCAATAAAGAACGGCTCTTCAAGATGAGTTTGAAAACAAACAGTTTCAGGAGTTAGCTGTAGTGACCTTGCATTTGGAGCAGTGCAGCCTCACTCGGTTCAAGGTCACATGAAGTTCTGTTGTGGGTTTCTTTTTTAAGCTGTCTTACACACATTTTCTAGATCAAAGGTGAAGTGTTTGCAGTTCCTGCCCTTGCCTCACCTCATGCAGTAGAAGTGGTTTCAGAGATGTACACAGTGCTCAGTGTCACTATGTTCTTACACCCCTTCTGCTAGGATGGAGAACATAAAATGACCTCCGAGCCACAGCCTGAACTTCCATCACGGAGAGGACTGCGCAGAACCTGCCCTAGCATGAAGGTTTGCTGTTTTGAAGAGTTTGGTACCGAGAACCTCTGCAGAACAGAAATGCATGGGGAAGCCAGCTGGGACAAGGAGCTTGAGAATGTAATTGCAGTGAAAGTATGGAATATTTTAAAGTTAAGTGTATAAAAGCAACTGGAAATCTGTGCACAAGAAAGGGAGGAAAAAAGTGTAGGGGAGGATGGCAGGGGAGGCACAGAGGCAGAAGGAATGGAAAAGAACTGCTCCCCAAAACCTATTCCCTGAGGAGGTGGAAGAGCATGGCTATATGGCTCATCAAGCAATATCAGGTAGTAAAACAAATCATAGTAAACAAAAGTTCCAGATTATGTGAGTGAAGGTGGCAGTAGGAAAGAAAAGCAGCAGCAAGCTGTGAAGGCAGGGGGGAGGTTATAGGTAGCCTGGATCCTGTCACAAATGGAAAAAGTGCTTTGTCCCATTTTCATGGTGGACAGGTCAGAGATGCAGAACTGGAAATTAATGCTTCCTAAATAAGATCAAACCCCAGAGATGAATTGTGCTCAGATGTGTGTCATCCCAGCAAACACGCTGACTTAAAAGACCAGCCTGGCCAGCTCTTTGGTGACTGACTCACCAGTTCTTCAGTGACTGAACTTCAGGATGAAGGAACCATACAGAAAATAGAAATCTGGGTCATTTGTTGAGGAAGAAGGTGGAAAATCTAAATCAGTAAGTAGAGACTACATCAGGCAGGCCAAGACACATAATGAGCAATGTCTAGGAAGGATTATAAAGCATACGAAGGGATCATCTTTTAAAGACAGGAGGAACGACAATATTAAGGAAAGATACAGTCCATTACTGAAAGAAGGGAAAGGGGGGCTATCAACAGATGTACCTGAAAATATATGAGCTGTGGAGGACTGGCAGAGAATAAAGAATGCATATAAATAGCTAAATACATTGAGCAGCTGTCTCCTCTACCATGTGCTCTCATTTCTTCCTGCTGCCAGAGAGCACTGATGTTTCTTATTTATTTACTTCTAATTACTGAGATACAGGCTTCCACTGATGAGATAAATGTAGCTCAGGATGCTCATCTTCTTCTTCTCTTCCCTCAGGGTGTCTCCCCAGCATCTAAATCAAAGCCTTATGAAAATGGCCCACAGCCATAGCTCATAGCCATAGCCTCCATAGCCCACACCATCTCCCTTAACGCTGTGGGATCTCAGCCCCCTCCCCAAGCCCAGAACACAGTCAGTGCCAGAAGCAGAGGAAGGGGCCGAGCTGCCTCACTGGAAGCCGTTATTCCTGCTCCATAGAGCAATGGCACAGCCAGCAAAATCTTGGGGACTAGGTTGATGGAAAAGAGATGGAAAGCGAAGGGTGAAGAATGAGGTGAGTGGGAGTGTGTGCTGAGAGGTCTGGTGCAGGTTGTTTGCAGGGATCACAAGGGCAGACCAACTACAGCAGGTATTTATGAGGCTGCTGTTTCAATGCAGGATGATGGAATGTTACCTTTTTTCCCTGACTGCTAATGCAATTCATCACCTTTACCTACAAAAGAAATGCAAACCTGCACTTTACCGAATTGTGCTTACTTCTGCAAAGCAAAATCCTTCATTTGTGCTAAAAAAATCCACTCTGGTCTCTAAAAGCCATGTGCAGAAGGTGGATTGTGCAGGTTTGACACATCGTGAGTTCTTTATCTACCTAGAAGTACCCTGCATCATCATCACCCCTTTGCAGTCTGTGCGGAGCTGTGTCTGACAAAGCCACTGTGAAGCTGGTGCTTCTGGAAGTGGCCAGGCAGTGATACAGGCACACAGGGAGCAGGCAGGCAGCTACTGGGAAAGAAAAGTCATTCTGGAACAAGCTGTGCTTTTTGATTGGTTTTTGGAACAAAAGCTTGTCCAGAACAGATGAAAACCTGAGTGGAGAAGCCCAGCAGGACTTGGGCAACCATGCACTCTCAGTTCAGGGAGGGGCAGAGCAATAGCACAGGCATGAAGGTTTCTTTGCATCGTTCTCCTTGTTTAGCAAACACATCTCCAGATACCAGCAATACTGTTATCTGGCAGGAGCACTTCTCTAAACCCCTTCAATTATTCTTAATGGCCAGAACAAGTTTTCATCAAAAATACTCTCCCAGAACGATGTTTGTTTTCAAAATACAGCTCTGTTTGGCTGGCTGCACCATCTTCATCGGCTGGAGCTAAATAAAAGGGCCAATTGCTTGGCTGAGTAACTCAGATCTCTTCCCAAGGGAAGTGGCACAGGATCCAGAAGGAAGGCGAAGGCAACAGGTTTGCAGTCGTTAGCCTCAAGCTTGATTTGTTCAGTGTGTGCTGCGAGGTGAGGAGACAGATCTGTCCACAAGGGAGAAGCTCCAGGTAGTGAGGAAACACCCCGTGTGTCTCTGCAGCCAGAGGTAAGAGGTATGGGATGGACTAGTGATGTGAAACAAACCCGTAGGGCAGGAGAACGGGCTTTCTCATCATCCCAGGTCTGTGTCTGAACTGCAGCCACTCTGGATCTCCTCTTGGGAGAGCTCCTGTCTGTGTGTATTGTTCATTTTTGACAAAAAGGTTTTCGCTGTGCCTGTATTTTGACTGAAAATCTTGAAGCAGCTCTGGGAGGTGCCTGTGTTACTTAACCAGACTGAAGAAGTGGGATGCTTTCATTCTGCAGACAGGAGCCCCTGTGATGGGCCTGTTTGATGCAAGTCAGCAATGTACTTCAATATTTTGAGGTGTTAAAGCAAAAATTACTTTGCACATTGCCTCCTTTATCCATGTGTTACATTCCCAAAGCATCACTTGGAATATCCCAACATTTTCAGAACAGGTTTTGCTTAAGTGAATGTGTCATCAGGAAATGCAGAATTCCCGATGAAGTGTTAGGTTCAGTGAAATGATATTGTCTGATTTTAGCCCACTTTGCTGGACTGTTTCAAAACAAGAGGTATGTTGGGAGGGAGCACAGGGGGCTTTACAGCTCTGTCCCTGATGTGGGCACCTGTGCCAGTGTGAATGCAGTTCAAACCATGGTTTCAGGGTTGTGGTTAATCAGGCCCATAAATGAAAACCAATAAATTAACCAGCACTATGGGAAAGTGCTTTTCTGTTTGGTTTGTCTGAGGTTATTTTTATTTATGTATCCATGCAATCTGCATGAACCCTGGAGCTAAGCAAAGCACCTTATGTACATAACTGCAACGCTTCATGGCTGCCTGCTCTCCTGCCTTAGCTCTCCTGGTGCAATGGAGGACACGTCAAGACAGAAGTCAGCACAGAGCAAAGACACACTGTGCTCCCCAGTGCCAGAAGAGCCTCCTTCAAACTTTATACATGTCAAACTGGAGGAGTATGAGCCTGCAGACTTCAGCACCAAGGAACTCATTCTAAAGAATGCCAGAGAGGTCTGCACATGCACTCATCAAACCATCATCACCTTCTTCTGTCGGCTGTTCCCAGTGCTGGACTGGCTTCCCTGTTACAATGTCAAGACACAGTTGCTTGGGGATGTCATATCTGGGCTCCTGGTGGGGATAGTCGCCATCCCTCAGTCCATCTCCTACTCCCTCTTAGCCAACCAGGATCCCATCTACGGAATCTACACCAACTTCTTCTGCAACATCATCTATGTTGTTATGGCCACTTCACGCCATAACTCTGTGGGCTCCTTCGGCGTCCTGTGCCTGATGATTGGGCAGTCTGTGACCCGGCACCTCCAGCTAGCAGGGTACAGTGATGACAGCGCTGGCTCTTTGCTGCTGGGCAACTCCACCTCCTCCAGTAACGGGACGAGTGCCTGTGACAGGAGCTGCTATGCAATCACTGTGGCTCTTTCTTTGAGCTTTCTGGTTGGTCTTTACCAGGTACAAATATTTGCTGTTCTGCTGTTTCCTTTACGACCTTTCCCTTCTAGGAACTTCTCTGTGCTGAAGATCTTGAAGCTCCTCTCTTGGTTCAGACTTACAAGTCATGAGAAACCTTTCCTGATGTGTCTAGACCCTGACACCTTTGAATCAAATGTGGTTTAGAAACCCACAAACACAACTGAAGGGGGGGGGGGGTGGTATTTCCTCCCATATGACAGGCCATGTCCTTGTATGTCCTTATGATCAGACACAGCAAGGGAGGAGAAAGAACCACTTTCCCACTACCCCAGTCCTGGAGCTGGGCCAGCTTCTGCTGCAGGTTAGAGCAGGTTTGGGGCTGGCAAGAACAGCTCTCAAAGGCCCTGCCATCAGCAGGGGCTCCTTCAAAGCCCATGCTCCCTGGGGATGTCCTCACCGCCTGAGCCTTCCTGTCATTGAACAGCTTCAGGCTCTTGCACTGGGACAACTAATATTCTGTGCATCACACCAGTTATATGCCACTGAGTGATGTTTTGATGGGGCTGCTGCCTGGACTTTGTGTTAACTGTGCCCATATTGCTTGTAAGGAGACAGTGGTAGGGACCTTATAGGCTTCTTTGTCTGGCACCCTAACCACAGACAAGTGTTATAGGTAGGTCTCTTTAGTTTGTCGTACCCCAGATTAACTACTGAAGATAAAGTACCCTGCCTCACGCTGACTGCTCAGCAGACAGAAGTGAAAGCAAACTGACATAAATTGACAGCCACCTCTTCCAGCCCTTCTCATCGATGCTAAAGGTATGGCTGGCTTGCTTTTCAGATCCTGCTGGGGGTTTTACAGCTGGGCTTTGTGTCTGTCTACCTGTCAGAACCTCTCCTCAGTGGCTTTGTGACCGGCTCCAGCCTCACCATTATCACCTCACAGATGAAGTATCTCCTGGGACTGAAAATCCCTCGTCATGAAGGGGTAGGGTCCTTCATCCTCACATGGATTGACCTTTTCAGATACATCCAGAACACCAACATCTGTGACCTGGTTACCAGCTTGGTTGCTTTGGCCATCATAGTGCCTGTCAAAGAAATCAATGACCGGTATAAGGAGAAGATGAAGGCTCCGTTCCCCGTAGAGCTGCTGGTGGTCATTGTAGCCACAGTAATATCTTACTACTTTAACTTTGAAGAGCGATACAAGTCTGATGTTTGTGGGGATATCCCCACTGGTTTCAGGAAACCCACTCTACCAGATATAAACCTGTTTTCCAGCCTGGCAGTTGATGCTGTGCCCATTGCTGTTATTGGCTTTGCTATGACCGTCTCCCTGGCAGAAATCTTTGGCAAAAAGCATGGCTACCCTGTCCGTGCGAACCAAGAGATGATTGCCATTGGCATGTGCAACCTCATCCCTTCTTTCTTCTACTGCTTTGCCAGCTCTGCAGCCCTGACCAAGACTTTGCTGAAGGAGTCCACGGGGACACAGACCCAGGTCTCTGGCCTGGTCACCTCTCTGGTGCTGCTGCTAGTGCTGCTGTGGATTGCCCCGCTCTTCTACTCACTGCAGACCTCCATCCTGGGGGTGGTCACCATTGTCAACCTGCGGGGGGGCCTGAGCAAGTTCTGTGACATCCCCCGCATGTGGCAGCTCAGCAAGCTGGACACGGTGGTGTGGTGGACAACCATGCTGTGCTCCACGCTGATCACCACAGAGATTGGGCTCCTCGTGGGTGTCTGCTTCGCTCTGCTCTGTGTCATCTTCCGCACGCAGAGGCCCCGAGCCACGCTGCTGGGCAAGGTCAGCAGCACGGAAATCTATGAGGACCAGTCCACATACAAGCAGCTCAGCAGCATTGCCAACATCAAAATCTTCCGCTTCGAGTCATCTCTCTACTATGCCAACAAGGACTATTTCAAGACTGTTCTCTATGAGAAAACAGGGGTAAATCCTGGCCTGCTGACTGCTAAGCACCAAAAGGTGGAGGCCCAGGCAAATGCAGACCCAGGCAAGAGAAAGAGCTTTTTCGGCACCAGGTTTGTCTGCCTGAAGCAAGCCAAGAAAAGGTCTGGGAAGCCTCCAGAGGATGCCTGTCCTCCCTCCCTAGACATGCACACCCTCATCCTTGACTGTGGGGCAATGCAGTTCATAGACACCGTGGGTCTCTCAGTGCTAAAGGAGACACGTCATGACTATAAGGAGGTTGGTGTTCAGGTACTCCTGGCCAACTGCAACCCTTCCCTCCGCCACCGGCTCCGGGAGGGAGGCTGGGCTGGCGAGGCAGACAGTGGTGGGCAGCTGGCTTTCCACAGCATCCACGATGCCGTGCTGTTTGCTGAACGGTGGTACCGTGTCCAGCAGGAAGAGAGCAAGGACAAGGATGCTCTCCAGGATGCTGAAGACCTGAACTTCCAGGTGTCTTTATAAAGCTGTGTGTAAGGACTGTTGCCTAATGGGGACAGGCTTGGGATGTACTTGAGAGCAGTTTTAGTCTGCACTCAGAGCATGCAAAAGAGACTTTGATGAACTGTCAGCAGCAGGCATGGGGCAGGCATGGAGAAGGTGTGGATTTCAACAGGCATTGCGAATTGGTGGATAATCCGAGTGGCTTCTCAAGGGCTGTCCTGTGGGAGAAGAGCTTGGATGGGGTTTCACCCCTGTCCCTGTCGGAAGGGCTGTGGGGCAGGAGGTGCCGTGGGTGCCGGGACCCGTGTCTCGGGTGGGTTCTGGGGGGCACGATCGAGCCGCGCTGCTCGGCTGAACCCGGGGCCGACCCCGAGCGCCTCCGCCCCTGGAGCCGCCGCCGCCGGGGGCAGCGGGGCTGTGCCGGTGCCCGCTGCTCCGAGCGGCTGGGGCCGAAGCGCTGTCTCTGTCGGAGCGCACCCACCGTCCGGAGCACCCGCCGGCAGGGATGTGCGGGAGCAGGAGGTGAGCGGCAGCACCTCCGGGCTGGAGCCGTGCCCTCACTGACAGGGTGACATTCGGAGCTGGCTGTAAGGGCCCCCAGCATGGGACAGCCCTGTCCTGTGTTAGAGGTGCTGCCGCAGAACAGGTATCGCTGCTGCAGGGGCAACCACAGGAGGAAGCTTTGCAGGGCTCTGTGAGCGACCCAAGCTTTACGCCTAAAAATCCTGTTCCCCGTGGCACCCTGGTATTAACCACCATCGGGCTGGTTACTGGGAGAGGGAGGGAGGAGCTGTAGGCAAGGTCTGACATCGACTCCTCTGAGGAGCGCTGGTGGTGCTTCCCGCTTCCCCGCAGGGAATCACAGCCCCAGGCTCGGAGGCCAGGCATGAGGGTTAGCAGCTCCTGTGCTGTGCCTCTTGGCTGTGCAGCTCAAGGTGTGCACCCACACACAAGAAAGGGGCTGCAGCCAGGAATCTCACAGACAGAACTTTATCTTGTTATGTGGCCATTCCTTCTATGTGCATTTCCAGTGCCCATATGGTGGCCCAATGCAGAATAACTGGGGAAAGACATCCTCTCTTGTGGTGCATTCCTTTACAAATTGCACTGTGGAGAAATGAACACCCCAAGGCAACTTCGGGTGCTAGACAACAAAGCCACTCACTCACCTCCCCAGACGTGCAGCAGCGGAGGTTATGGCCTGATTGCAGCAGGGATGAGAGCCACCAGTCCCACTCGCTCCTTCACTCACTAATGTGTATTCATCTTTTGCCACCTTTATTTTCAGACTGCCCTTCTCTTCCCACACAGCCAGAGTCAATGCGGGAAACAGATTGCAGAGGCTCATTTATTTTCCAAACACCCTGCTGCATGGAGTTTGCAGCTCCTCAATGGCCACAGAACAACAGCAACAAACTTGGCAACAGCAAAACACTTCCCTTACAAACAAAGAAAGAAGTTTCAGAGAGCTGCATAGGGTTCATTCAGCTGACATTCCTTGCCTTCTGTGTTGTGAGCTGCAGGGGAGGAGAGGCACCTTCCCCTGCTGTTATTAACAGACAGGGGTTTACATGACTTCCATGGCTGGAATTACAGGTTTCTTCCCCAGAAAAGGTATCTGACATCCCCACCTGCTCTTCATACACTGTAAATCAGGAAAAACTGTGCTGCAGCTTGCAATGGCTACGGTTCTCCCAGCGTTTGGAAGAATCTGGGCTGCCTTCCACATACACAGCTGGATGCTGTGCAGCTGCGTGCACGGTGCTGTCACTGTCACTGGTAGCAGTGGGGCAGGGCAGTCTCACACCTCCAGCACCACTGGGTGTGCAGCCGGAGGGAGCCTTGAAATGGACACAGGGACCTCTCCTTCTGCTGGGCTGGGATGGGCAGTATCCTGCTGGCTCTGCTCTGCATCCTGAGGGTGAGTCCCTGGTGTGAGCTGAGAAGGCTCTGCAGTGTTGCCAAGTACGAGAATAGCTTTTATTTCATTAGCTCCATCTGTAAAAACACCTTCTATGCTGCATATTTAGTATGTGAATATTCTCCTGGCCTCATCCTGGAAATGCAGCACCAAAGATACCCCACTGAAGGGAACTCTAGCTTTGGCTAGAGCCACTCAGGACCCAGGGACAGGAATCTGTTGTAAATAAAGTGTATGGAAACAAAATCCTACTGGCTCTGCTCAGGAAAACGTGTTCTTGTGGTCAAAAGTCTGTTTCAAGTGGATTAAAGAGCATGGTATGCCCAGCTGCTTGAAGGTCCTTGGAGCAAGGGTGTGAGTGTCAGATGAAGGTAAATTGACTGAAGAGGCCAGTATGAGCCTTGCAGGGCTGGATGGACAAGCGTGCTCAGTGTTCCCTGGATGCAGCTGGGGGACAGCTCTTGGGGCACGCTGCACCTCTCTCCAAGGGTCCTTGCAGCCCATCACAGCCACTCCCCAGGGAGGCTGCATCAGGATTTTGCATCAGCCATGGAGCAATGAGTAATGGGGCAGTTTTGTGCCTGAACAGCAAGTCAGTAGAGGAGAAAAGTCTTGTTAGCTGCAAGGATTATGACCTTCCTTCCCCTTTGGAATAGCATTGCCATAATTTTCTTTATAAGTGTTTATGGAGAAAATCAAATTGGTTTAGTTAGACTTTAGATGCATTTATGATCTTGGTGGGGTCATAAAGCCACAGCAGGATATAAAACCATTGCTGATAATTCCTGGGTATAGCCTGGTGCAACACAGTGCAGAGGAGATTACTGTCAGAGTGGCAGTTAACAGAGCCCCCTGCAATGGGACGTGGCTGTTTGTGAGCAGTTTCTGCTCAGAGCTGAGAAAGCTGTGAAAATGCCAAAGAGATATGAGGCAGTTTTAATGGGATGCCTTCCCTGGGAAAGGAGAACTGAGGTGGCAGCCTCCTTCCCTCTCCTCTCCAGCCCAGAGCAGTTGGGATCTCGCTGGCAGACCTTGCCCGGGCTGCTTGCCCAGATCTGCCAGCTCCAGCATCGTCTTCCAGCCCTCAAGTCAAACCTCCCGGTGACCCATCATTCTTCACAGATTTCCAAGGTAGATCAGGGATAATTGCTATTCTTATTTCAGCTCCTATAGCAAGCCCTTGGGTTGTAAATGACATGGAGGAGAGATGGAGAATGACAAATGACATAGTCCAAGATCAGCTTATAATCAGTGTCATGGGAGATCAGGCTGGCCTCCTACCACCTGCATCTCCTGGTGAGACAGATGTGAGCATGAAGGGACCACAGCAATAGTGGGCTAATTCCTGGTGGTGAAAGGGCTTCTGCTGAGGCCACAGGACCCTTGTCTCCCCCAGCACCCAGCTGCAACAGCCTGAGTGCCTCTGTTTGCCAAAGGGCATCAACCTCTCAGCTGGGTGTTGACCCTCAACATCTCCCACCCAAGGGGACCTGCCCTTGCATCCCACTGCTGACCTGCTGGACCCCAGGGTGTCCCATGTGCTTCACCAGGGCCCAAGGAAATGCCATGCAGCTGAAAGCAAATGTTATCCCTCCTGGTAAGCAGCTCACTGGTTCTTCTCCTTCTCTCTCTGCCCCCTGCCTTGCTGTGAATCTATAAATACTCCGGGAGTGTGATAAATGGAGGATTGCTGCTAAGGCTTTGTCAGCTGCTGGTGGAGCTGACTGTGCAACTGTTAATTATGCCGCAGCAGCAGCTGGACAGGTTTAAATCCTTTTGATGCTCTGAAATGCTCCCTCTGGGGAAGCTTAAGGAATAAAGGTTGTCGTGACTCATGGGTGTTTGCTTCCCCTTCTAGAAAGTGTACGCGACACTGATTGCTGCATGGAGGGCTGTTCTCCTCGCTCCCGTTGCCTGTTCTTGGAAATACATACTCTGTTTAATGGCAAGAAGTTGATTCTGCAGATCTGTAGCTGCAATCAAGCAGTTAGCATGCTGCCCACATGTGTGGAGAGTTTATCCGTGAAAGCTTTCCCTAGCAGACAAAACTGGGTTGGAGAAGCAGTGAGCTGCAGGGGATAGCACTGGGTTTCTGGGGAGAAATAATAGAGGTTAGGGCCAGTTAATACCTCACTGGAGATAGCCTGGGGAAGAAGGAACCAGTTGACAGTGGCTCAGGGTACCATAATCCAGCTGTGTCAGGCTTGCCAGGCTGAGCTCTTGTGGGTTTCTGTGTCTCCATCTACAAGCTTCCTGCTCTGGATTGCTTTCTGGGTTTGCTGTGCCCTGTTTCTACTTGTGTTTCTCAGAAGAAAGGCTTTGCTCTGACACATGCATGACAGCTTCCAAATTCTTCCCCTGAGTGAGGGGCATGCACCCCAGAGCTTAAATCCTGGAGTTAAAACATTCAAAGTCATGGGACAGCTACATCAGAAACTCCTCCTAAGCCACTGGGTAAATACCTCTCCCTTTTTCTGCCTCTCACCCTTTAGTACAAAGTGCCCCGGGTGCTGTGTGGGTGCCCTGTGCAGAGGTATCATCGTGGATGACGGATGATGCCCTGGTGATATGAAACTAAAATCCAGTCAGTGTCTCCAAAGCTGTCTGCAGAGCCAAGCCTGGAGCTGCAGGGCTTGGTCCTAGACACCCTGTCTGAGCTGTGTGCTCAGCGGAAAGACAGGGAGGAGGACAGGTCTTCTGTCCTGGCTGTTGCACTAGCTGTGCCAAGTTTTCATTGCATGCTCCAAGTTCATTACTAACCTGAGCTCCACACATCTGCTTAAGAAGTACTTTCCACACTTACTTGTGTAGAAGATTGTTCTAGGGCACTGTAAAGCACTGTTGAGTCCCTGTCACAAACAATAGGCTGCTTTCACAGATACTTCCTCTTGGACTTCTCCTCCCAACTTCATGACTGCATGTGATTTCTCTCTCGCCATCAAACAAATGATGTTGCTGGCAAAGGATGCTGCCTTCACCTTGCTGGCAGTGTGCACAGGGGTGGGTACCCAGGCACAGCAACCTGTGTGCACACACACACGTGCACTTACACAGCCAGCCTTGTAGGTGTTCCTTCAGGCACAAAGCTGCTGCACCACTTCCCAGCCTCAGGTCTCCAAGTCAGGATCCCTGTGCAGAGCTTTCAGCACGATTGGGCTGTGAGGATTTGCCAGCAGAGCCTGGGGCCTTACCCTGTTGCAGTCACATGGAAAGGAGCCTCTAGCTCCCATGTCTCCAAGTCCCTCTGTGATGTTTGGACCCTGCTATGAAGGCTACAGAAGTGATGCAGCCTGAAGGTGAGAGCCTGGGGAGGGGGATGGGACCACATCACGCTGTTCCCTGCACCATCTCTGGCACATCACTGAGCATCTAAACCCTCTTTGCCCTCCACCTGCTGTAAAATGAAAGTGGTAAGAGCCACATCCCTGAAGGCTGCTACCAGGGCTCAAACCAGAGAGCTTTGCAAGTGATGATTTTGGTAGCATTTCCGGATTTTCAATAGTCAGAAACAGTGAGGGGAAGAGCCACAGCAGCTTTTGAGATGCAAAATCCCCCATATTACTTGACTGGGAATGTGCTCAATTTGTTTTTTCCACAGAATCTAAGAGATGGCTTTTCTCAGTGATATTCCTGTGAAAACATGATGTTTTGATCTATATTTTAATGACACAGCTCAGTAGCCTCATTTTAATCAGCCACCCAGCACCCCTGGGAGTGCTGGAGAAGCAGAGGTGACATCTGTCTATCAGCAGCCACTGGCCTCCCAGCAATCCTCTTCTCCCTTGCTTACAAACAGCTCTCCTCCAAAGGAGAGCGGATTTACATTAACAGCATGAGTGTCACCTCTTATCTTGGCAGCACCTGGAGCGATAAGGGCAGTTGCATGAGTGATGAACATTAATGTCTAAAGAACCAGAGCAGCTTCCTGGAGAGGCTGGGAAATGCTTCCTCATGTCTACCAAGGGAGTAAATGTTGCAAAGTGCCTGCTCACTCTCCCACAGGCATAATAACAACCTTTGCATTACACACCCCATGCTAGATGCTTTTCTGAGCACTTAACAACCATTTGCCTGGACAAATTAGCAGCTGACACACATGGGTGATTGTACCTACACATTGGGAGCTGGCCACTTTGGAAACATAGATGTGGGGAGAATCATCTCACCTCACTCAGGCTATGCAGAAGTAATTGGGAATGGTAGGCTCTGACGAAGAGAGGACAGAAGCTTCATTCCACCTGAGAGAGGTGCCAACAAGCAGAGAGGATAACTCATGGCTGGACATGCCCTGGGGATCCCAGCTCATTGAACAGCCCAGGCTGGCTGCAGGTAGGGAGAGGGTGTTCTTGTACATCCCTGAAAGGGGTAGCTGTGCCATCACCCCACCACCCACACTGCTCTACCAGCAACAGTCACATCCTGCTTCCCATAGGACCAATGCCAATCCGAAGGGAGATGCTCTCAGCTCTCACAGAGGGAAAGAAAAGGAGGAAGGACAGAGATTAAATGAGCTGAATAGGAAAATTACTCTGGGCAAAATTCCTGCAGTGTCCAGGATACCCACAAGTAGCAGGAGCTGCTGATCTCTGTGGTCTCCTACAAAATAACAAAGTCAACGCAGTGATGGGGAAATGTTTCTGCAATTGCTGGGTTGCTATTGAGCTAGCTCTGCTCTTTGCCCTTGCTTCATCCTCGCCTGGAGAGGAGTTGGATGGAGTCAATTTGCTCAACTTTGTGTCTGGTCATTGTCTGCCTTCTAGTAAGAAAGTTCACCAGGGAGGGAGGTGGATCGAAGCACCTCTGTTTTACCACTGCAAGTCCAGGGCCTGTGCTGTCCAGCCAAGGCTCTTTAGTGACAAATAATATTGCCCTCGGTTATTGCCAGGAAATGACCAGCCCCACTTGCCTGGTGGTGCTCCCTCCTAGTTACAAGTGTGTGCTTTGTTTCTTGATGTGCCATTAGTCACTTAGAGGCTCACATCTCACTAGCTCTTAGGACACCTCACTGGGGAAAGCAGGTTGGTAGTTCCTCCAGCTCCACGTACTTTTGCAGCTCCTCTGCAAAACCACAGTCCTGCGAGGACTGCTGAGATAGGCACAGGACCTGCTCAGTGTGCCTGCAGGCTGAGCTGCAGACACTGCCCTGCTGAAAACCTCAGCTGGGGATACTACAATGCTACCCGAAGCGCCAGGGCTGGGCTGGCCTCAGGAGGCATCTCGGTTTGGCAACAGGCATCCCCCAGGGGCCAGGTAGATAAAGATAATGCATTGTGCAGGCCTACCCAGCCCTGCCATCCACCAGCATGGACAAGCTTGGCACAGCAGACCCCTTATGGCACCTTTTCTGAGGCCAGAGAGCAGCAACACTGGTACCAGTGCATGTGTGGAGTCCACACCACCTCCATATGTACCCTGCCCTGGCTTGAAGGGTCAAACACTGCTGCTTCCCTGGGGATTGTTTAGCAAAGAGGAAAGTAGTATTGGGTGATATGTGTTTGTCATGACAGCCATGGGCCAGCTCCCGGTTAGATACAGCATATTAGGGGAAGAGTAATCCACCAGGGAAACCATTGATGTGCCAGGAGGTTGAAAAGAAAGGTAAGGGAGAATGAGGGAAGAACATAGCTCTGCTGGTTTGGTACAGCCAGAGCAGCTCCTCAGGAGGGGACACAGACTGCCTGGCCACCCCAGACATCCCAGCTATTAGCTAATGAACTGGCTCAGCTGCTGGTGGTGATGACTGGGACATCCAAGATGGGAACCGTGTGCCAGCGGGACTGAGGATAACAAGGAGGGGGCAGGACGGGAGGGGTTGGATGTGGGCACGGACACAGATATGGACCACAGCCTGGGGATTGCTGAGCTCCACACTGCTTTCTTGGCAGCCACCATCTGGCTGGCTAATTACTGCATGTTATAACGTCCTTTGGGAGTTTGAAGTACTTGTTAGTGCTAATAATGACAGTAATAGTCAAGATTAAAAATAATTAAGGCAGCAAAGTGGAGAGATTGGATGCTCAACTGCACTGATAACCAAGGGGATTCCCCCTGAATCCTTCCCTTGTTACAAGGTGATGGTCATGGTCCCCCTGCATGGGACAAGGATTTGGGGACATTTCAGAAGCACCAAACTTCTGTCTCTGATTTGTTGTTATTGTCTCCTCCTTTGCAGGCTGTTTGCCTCAATTTCAATGAAAAGACAGCAGAGGAGAGTGAGTGATGGCCCAAATAATCTACAGCTGCTATCAAATCAAGGTGTGGGGGTAAGTGATGCTCCACAGAGCGTTTAAAGCAGAGGTTAGTGGTGTGAGCTCAGGTAAATGGTGGTGTTACTGGGCTTTTATGTAGCAATAATACAGGTCTTGGAAACTCAGAGAGGAATTTGTACTTGGTGCTGCTATCACTGAAAAAAGGTGAGAAACTGTTTTTCAATGCTCCCCTAACAGGCTGTAATCCCAGTTTCTAGCAGCCATCAGGTGTCTGGTGAGGGCAGGATCTCAGCTCAGGCAAGCAGGGGTTGCACGGTGTTATCCTGATGGGCAAAAAAGGAGCAGAAAGTGCTCTGTGTTCCTCTGTTTGGCAGCAAAGAAAACCTCTGAGGTTCTCAGCCTTTAGGAAAGCAAGAGAAGCCTCAAAGCAGGATGAAGGTGGTACAGATAAAAGGCAAGGCAGGGGGAGGAACTGAAATGAGCTTCATTTGCTTGGTCTAAAAAAACCTGAGATGGAGAGAATGAGCTTAGAGCACGAACATGAAGCTGGGCTTAATGAGCTGAGCAGCTCCAGTCGTCTGCTGCCCTTGGCGTCTATGGCAAAATCCTGCAGTTCTGTCAGGTCTTGCAGTTTTGAGGCTCTTTGGTGGGTGCCTGAACAGCCCCTGCGGATCACTAAAGCCTAAGAAGATAGCTGTTGCATTGTTAAAAAAAAGCATATAGCCCATAGAAGTAATGTGAGGAAGTACAGAAAACGTGCTTTATTAAGCTTAAAGGCTGAAAAAAGAGAGTCCAACAAGAAGAAAATCTTTATTTTCTTTCCTTAGTGACCAAGGGATGTGTTCCAGCAGGTAAAATTGTGGTTCCTTTAGAAACTAGACACAAGATTAAATGTATTGTAAAATACATGCCAAGCCATACAGCAGCTGAGACTCACAAGGTAGGTAATGGATAACAGGTACTAAAGTTCAATAAGCAAAGGAGAAATAACAGTGGTTAATGCTGACATCTCAAAGTTGTTTCCGTTTCAAACCATCCTTCCCAGGGAATCTGTTTGTCGTTTTCTGTGTTATGCTATTTTGTTTTTTCAAGAAAAGAATGTTTAATTGGATCTTTGTGCTTCCAACAAATGCTGGCCCTCTCTTCCAGATCCATTTTTTCTCTAAAGCAGCAGTTGGCAGTGCTAAGAGTCCCCTGCTACTGCAGCTCTGTGCAGTGCTGCTTGGGGTGTTGTGAGCTGGTGGGAGAGCACTTGGCTGCAAAAGATTTACTGTGGGTGTTTTAAGTCTGGAGAGTATTTATTTTGAGCCAAGGTAGTATTCCAAATTAAAAATCAAGGCAGGTAAAGGTTGTTCTGGTTGTGGTGATGCGCAGCGAGGAGCCGGGCTCACCAGCCACTGGATGGCATTGTTGTTTCACACGGATAAAAGCTGTCGTGGCTGCCCTATGCAGTGCCCTGGGCACCAAGATTCAGGAGCCTCTGTGGTTCCTCTTGCCGTGGTATGAAGGTAGTCAGGGCCTGGGTGACACGGCACATTGGTAGATGTGCCCTCGCAGGGCAGAGGGCTTGGGAAGAGCCTGGTCAGTGCTGTGCTCAGCTGTCCCTATGGCTGCTGCTACTGAGGCCGGGCTGGTGTCAGCTCCCTGCCTGCAAAGGATGAGCACAGTCCAGGGCACTGCATGGGGGAACCCTTCTATGGGCAGCCAAGGGTGACAGAGGGGCAACCTTCCTGGGTGCCTTTTGCATCCAAAAGGAGCTAACGCAGCTGCTGAAGTATCCCCAGTGTGGTGCATTTAAGAAGAATGAGGATTTAAGATCTGGGAGGTGAGCAGCCATGGCTTACATCAAGCAGAGGTTAAGGGCTGATGACACATGAGGTGCTGCAGACACAATGGAACCCTCTGTGTTTGCTTAGGTCCTGTGCTTACCTCCTATCACCCTTCCTTCCACCCTCACCTGTCCAGGGCACTGTGCCTCTAAAGCAGTGGGGTCATTCCTCTCCATGGCCCACTAGTGGGAAGGGAGTATTTTGCCCTTTGCTGTGGGGAAGAGGTGCTCAGCCAGTGTGGAGGGAAGAGCCCAGTGGATGGGAAGGTGCCTGCGGCAGACAATGCTGAGCAGGTAACGTTTAAAGGCAAGGAGATGCGCTCCTTTCAGTGCGTTGCAGAGGCTGGTGGCACGCAGGTCCCACCTTCACGTGCAGGCTGGGAAATGAGTATTTGCAAAGGAAATGTTAGACTGGAGGGGTTTGCTTTGCTGGTGGGGTGAGCTCCTGAGAGTGCTTCCTTGAAGGGTGTAGGCAGGTCTGCTACTAATACTGCTTTTCAACTACCTTCATAAGCAGGTCCTGCTTCCCCAACTTGAAGATGCGTACCTGTTTATAGGCTCTTGGAGCTATCAAGATCTCCACATCCTATGCAAGCACCTCTGAAGCAAACAGGAACATTGGTGTGTATTAAAGCATTGGCTTCATGAGAAGCCCCTGGGAGTGCTGTGTGAGCAGGGAAGGACTGCTCCCTGCCTCTTTCCACGTGAGGAATCGAAAGCACCAGCTGAAACAAGCCTGTGGTATACTTCAGTTACAGAAAAGGGCACCTCACACAAGGGGTAATTCGTGCAGGAATTCTTGCTGCCAGATGCCAAAAGTGCATTTGTAATGCAGCAGGAGGAATTAATGGAAGAACAATTAGTTGAGGCAGCGGTGTCCTCTCTGACTGAGGGACTTGTTAACCACAGATTAGTGGAGGCTTGGAGAGTCTTAGCCTTTTCCTCAGGAAGCCACTATAGAGAGAAAGCACAGCATTAGATGGACCGCTTTTATTCCCCAAGCACTATAATAACTGTGCTGAATACTGCTGGGATGCTTTATGCTGCCGTGGCTAGACCACAGGCAGTCATTTCTTTCTTTTCTTCTATTTTCCTGTCTTTCCCCCTAGAAGCTGTGTTCACACAAACAACACTCTGCGTGTGTGGCCTCGAAGAGGAAGTGCAGCAGCTGCTGCTAGTGAAAGGTGATTTCCTTTTGAGAAGCCCTTGCACCCCTGAGCCCAGCCATACCCATCACTTCACTTAAAATCTCTGCTGTGTTTGGGAAGCTGCATAATGAATTTCCCTTCCAGGCTGTGCAAATGTTGTGATGCATTTTGCCAAAACCAGCACAGAAACTGCAGACAGGAGAAGTGTAAATGGCTGAAGGTTAACCCAGGACAACAGGGCACTACAGGTGAGTTAAATTTAGGTAGGGAATTGCTGGCATTTGTTTCTTGGAAGTGAGAACACTTCATTGTCTTCGGCACTTATTAGCCCCCAGACTAGTTCTGCAAATCAGGGCTGTGGTTTCCAGTGCTGGCCATGGAGGAGGACTCCATGTGTCCATCTCATCAAAGCCCAGCCCAAACATGTGGGTATCGCAGCTCCGAGATGAGCAGCTCTAGTTTAACTCTTGTTCTGCTGAGCTGCTGCAGATCTCCCAGTGTCATCCTGGAAACATAAGAGCAATCACTGCAGTGTTTGAAAGCACCATTCTGGGAAGTGCCAGCCACCGTGGCTGCAGGGGTGCAGGAGTGTGGCCTCAGGCTCAAGCACTTACAGCGCTTGTGTGGACATTGGCTGTAACTGTGTGTTAAACACACATGCAATTGCCAGGAAGGGTTTGCAAACCACCTGCAGGCTCCAGTCTGTTCTCTCTTTGAACAGCTCTGAGTAAAGAAGTCTCCTTTTTTCGTCTGGGTTTTGGGTTTGTTCTGTGAAGATTTTTTGATGGGGAATTAATGGTCGGGAATAATGTTTCTTCACCAGGCAAGCAAAGGACTTGGGAAATAGGTTTTCCATCTCCAGGAGGAGCCTCAATTTTCCTTTCTAGGTAGCCAAGGGCACTCCAGAGCAGTGCTGGGCTGCTGGCCTTGGCTCCAGCAGACTCCCACCTCAGTGCTGACCTGAGCTGACCTGGCTGTGTTTCCAAGGCTGTGCAGTGCAGCATCAGCATGCGATGCTCCAAACACCACTGCCACTGTTCACTTGGTGGGGAAAGCCACAGTGGCAGCCTAAGGTTTCTGGCACAGAGCAGAGGGTGAACGCTCTGGAGAGGCCAAGGAGGGGGAAGGAAAAAGTCGCTCCCTGGGTTTATTTTTGTTTGTATTTTAATTTTAGGGCTGCTCACAAGTGGAATCGTCTACGTGCTGCCATGGAAACAGCAGCCTTGGTCCCCAGCACAGCTTGCAGCCATCTGCAAGGGAACAATTGTTGGCCTGTTTGTTTAAAACCATCCGGGGTGGTGCTGGGCGGTGTGTGGCTGGCCAAGGGGAAGCCACATGGGACATGACAGGACGTGCTTGTCACACTGAATAACGCAGCAGACAAATGCCCACAGATGGGATCGGCAGTGTCCTGTCTGGAGAAGCGCTGATGTGCAAAACTGGTGTGAATCACGTTGGTTGAATGACTGTTTGAGACCCAGGAACTGCAGCACATGGCTTGTGATGCTCACAAGCATTCACCCTGATGGGTTTCGGTTCGTGTGGACCCCGGCAAGCAGAGGTCTGTGCATGCAAAGTCTGTGAGAGGCCACAGTGTGGGAGCACTGAGCAGGCTGCTGCTTCCGAGGAGCTGGATTTTGACTGCTCCGGTGGGAAACGGAGCCAGGTTAACTTTCTGCACGCGAACAGTTTGACTGAACACACCAGGCTTCCTGGCATGAAACCGGTGCAGAGGACTGAGCATCAGCCAGCATTTGCCAAAACTGCTGGGAAACCAGCTCCTGGCTTTACTCAGCCATGTGCTGGGCTTCAAATCTGTGAAGAAGAGGTTCTGTTTGCAGGCAGTTGCCCTACCTGAAGAGATGCACATAGAAAAGAAACGCACATGGGAAATGGCAGAGAATCTGATCCACACTAACCTCCTCCCTGCTTGGGTGGGACTATTAAGCCCAGGTTTGGTCTGCTGGATCATGACCTAAATGTGCTCTGATGTCGAGTGTGTATTACTCTGATCTCATGCTGATGCCATGTGGAAAGTCACTGGAGAGCCCTGCCAGAAGGAGGTGTCCTTCCTCTGCTAGGAATGGGTGAGGGTACAACCTGCTGGCTGCCAGCTCTGCCCTTTACCCTTCAGAGGTCCTTCAGCACCATCAGTACCCAGCTGTGAGCTGGCTTGGGTTTCCTCACCCTTGTCATCTGCCTGGAAGACCAGTGCAGGCAGTGTGGAGGCTCAGGACTTTGCCTGGAGTCCACGGAGGAGCTGATTTGTCCCCATTGGCAGGCAGGGGAGCTCAAACAGTCTCCAAACACGTGTGCGTGGAACCTGCTGAGCTGAGCTCGCACACCCACAGTCCTTCCCTTACCCAGCAGCCGAGCACAGCCCTGTCTGACACAGCTGGCAGTCATTCCAGCTAGCTCATGAAACCCCTTCATTTCTGCTTGTCCCCCTCTCTGAGACCATTTTCCTCTGAGATCCCCATGACTGCACTTTACGTGTGAATATTCAGGGGGAAAGATGTTGAAGCTTTTAGGCTCAGATGCCAGAGAAGACACTTGGTTGTGGGAATTTACAGTGGTTGACCTGACTGCAACTATCTCATTCAGCCGAGCAAAGAGGAGAGAAATTACTTGGTTCTCATCTACTTCATCTTCAGAAATATTTAATGAAAGAGGGAAAATAAATTGGGGGGGGGGTCTTGTGGGCATCCTGAGAGTAGAAAAAGAGGTAAAATTAATCCTATCAATAATCCATGATGAATGATTCACTCAGCTTTTTTATTCACACTTGCATATACTTATCCTCATTCACGTGGAGATGCAGTACTCACGGAAATATATACAGACTCATATGCATATGAATTATGAAGCCCAGTGAGGGCTCCTACGCAGCCAGGGTTACAGGCTGGTGTAGCTCACACGTGGTAGGGGACTGCATGGCCCTTGCTTCAGGAGGTTTCCACACAGAGCTTGGCTCCTTGCTGCTTGCATTTTCCACATCATGCTCATCCATGTGCTCTAGCAGGGATGAGGAGGGGAAAGGGTCTGTGTTGCCCTCCCTCCTTTCAGTGGGGGTTTATAGGAAGAGGGGCTCCATGCTGCCTGGTGGGAGAGGTGATGCTGGTGTCCCCAGTGTGCAGCTGCCTCCACGAAGCTCCCCTGCACTGAGACTTCCCTGTCTTCTGCCAGTTTATACCAGAATCTGGTTTCTGGTTTCAGCAGTGTGGTCCCAACCTCCCAGCAGCAGCAGCCAGTATCTCCTTCAGTGCAGAAAGACAAGCACCCAACCATGCCTTGGGGCTGGGAAGCTGGGTCCTCTCAGCACTGGGGGGAATGGCAGGAGGCAGGAGATGTATTGCTGCTTCCTAGGCAGGTCTTTTTCATTCAAAACGTCTTTGCAGGAGAAAAGAACCAAGTGGAAATTTTTCATTAGAAACGGGATTTTTAAAAACCATTTAAAACAAAATGATGAAAAGTTCTGTCACACATCTGTGGCTGCAGAGAGAGGACTGAGATGGACCAGGACTCCCAGGAGGAACTGGAGGAATTGCCAGATGATGCTGAAGAGCAGAGGACCCAACCCCATCAGACACTGCTCTGACTTGGGAGTCGCTGTGCAAGCGCTTGAGAGGAAAACCCAAAATGTACCCAGAGTAAGCAGCAATGCCAGCCTGCGAGGATGTGGGAACAGACGTGGCCTTATTGGAGGGAGGAGAAGAGGCAGCCTAGGAGAAACAGCCCCAGCACAGGCGCTGCCTTGCATCCTCTGCAGCTGAGCTACAGCAGCATTCAGCACTTCTGCAGGTACCTACGTCTGCTGAGGATGCTTTATTATCAACTGTCATTTCACCTCTCTCATCTTTAAATCCCTTAAATAAAAGGATTGTTTAGTAGCTTCCAGCTCATGGACTGTAAATGTGAAATTTGTCTCAAAAAAAACCATTATTTCCCATAAAAAAAGACAAACTTGTGCCCTGATACCTGACTTATTTAATATTCTGTCTGGATATTGTGGAATACTATGACTGGAACCAGGAACGAGGTAGGTGGTCTTACTTATCTCTGGCCATTTGAAAGTTGGGGCTGTGCAGTTGATGAAGAAAGAGGGTTTTGTAAAAGACAGCTCAAGCTACCCATTGCGGAGGGGCTGCCCTGTCCTGCAGGGAGCTGCCTGGCCCTGCTCCATCTCCAGCTCATGATGCCATGGTTGCCCCTTGCTTTGGTTTCTTCTCTGGTCCTGAGATAATAAATACCTCAAAGGGTTGCTCTGAGAGGGCATTTCAATGCTTACAAAAAGACTTCGTGCCCCTCAGATGAAACTTGCTTTAACGATGTCTGTATTATGAACAGTGGTAGTTACACTGTTCAAAGTGAATGCAAATGTTCTGCTTTAAACCTTAAAGTCAGATCTACCTTAAACTGGATATTAGGTTAATATATCCAGGTAGCATGATAAAGTGTGGGGAATAAATCCAAGTGCACTGCAAACAGTCAGGTTTCATACCATAGATGCAGGAGTTTATTTAAAGGCCTCTCCATTTAGGTATCACTAACATGACCTTCTTTTCAATCACTTCAGTTTTGAACTTCTTCCCACCTTAGGTCAGGCTGAGCACTTTTATCATGAGTCTCAGAACCTAGATACATGGCTGTGCTGCAGCACCCGGAGCGCTCCCTGGACTAAATATGAGTAATGTAAAGAATAGAGGGGGTGACAACAGTGAGACATAATTCTAAGTAAGGACAAGCACCAAATCAGCTGATGCTGTGAATCAGATGTAGACCAGAATTTTCCTCCTGCCTTGCCTCTTCACAATGGTTTCCCTCACAAAATGGACTGGGATCCAAACTGCTGAGAAATCTGAAGTGTTCAGCTTCTGCATCTGGACTTTTCAGCTTAGATCTGGGTACCAGGAGGTGCTGTGGCCCAAGCAGAGTGCTGACTTCAGAGGTAACCTCTCAGCAAGAGCGGGGAAGCTTGCACTTAAAATCGAATAGAAAGAGAGAAGTTCTATGAAATCAAATAGAAAGAAAGAAGAGTGGGAGGGCTGCATCTAATGGCAGGTAGAACCATAAGAAACTTCATTTATTCAGGCTCTCTTTTCAATAAAACCCATCCCACGCAACTGGGCAAAGGAGACCGTGCTGTGTTCAAAGGCAACACACAGTGCACACCAAAAAGCTTCTCTGTTAACTTGATTTTATCTCCCTCTGTCTTATATCTGTGCCTGAAAGCACAGCCAGTGATTTAAAGCAGTGGCTGAGTTACTACTGCAGGAGTGAAGGCAGTGAATTCCACTGCATAGTGACTGTGATTCAGTCCTGATGAATCACTCAGCCACTTTTCTTCTCAACTAGATCTTTGGCTTTATTATTGTTACAGAAGGGAAAAAGGAGAAGGGAGAAAAAAGAAGAAAAAGCCACTGCCTTATCTCCCTCTCTAATCCTTTCCAATTTTTCTTTTAAATAATTTAATTACATTTTTATAGGCATCTCATTCAGGCTGAATAAACTGATAATCCTAGAGAGGAAGTGGCATTAAAAGGAGATGTGATGCACTATGACCAAAACTGATGACGGCATTGGGGTTCAGCATGACTTGGTTTTGGGCTTCAGGAATACGCAGCGATGGAAGGGTCTTGCACTCCACTTCCTCCATGCATCAAAATCCATTCCCCACTCCATGGTTTGCATCTGATAAAGCAAAGTGAGTGCTGGGATCTTGAGACCAGGACTGCTGTGGAGCAGTGGCAGGTAACCCCGCTCTGCTCAGGCACTGCTCATACTTGGGTATCTTTATGCAAGCTTCTGCAAGTGACTCCCTTGGCTCTCCATCCAGCCCACTCTGCAGACAGCAAAACACTTTGCTGTTGTAGCTATAGGTTTTGCCTGGATGGGGAAATGGTTCTGTATACACCTGGAATTCAGGGTGTAGGTTATTACTCTCCTTAACGTATTGGTGTTATGGGCACACCAAAGGGTCGGGGTGAGGAACTGGGTGGCAGAGAGAGCTCAACCAGGACCCAGTGCTCCTGCAGTGGATGGGTGCAGGCTGGGATTGCTGCCCAAACCTCCAGCAGGACACAACCAATACTCCTGCCAGCACAGCATGGTTTGTCCCTGGCTCTAACCACTGGTGCTGAGGAGATGGAGGCCCAAGATATGAAGACCTTCCTCTGACTGCAGGTTTTAAATCTGCCTTCTAGCATTCCAGTTCTCTAAGTGCACAGCAAGGCTGGTGCAGGAGTTTGCTGCAGTGCCAGCAGGAAAGGGAGTGCTCGGTTGCCTTTTCCATCACTCTCCAGCTTGATGGAGCATCTTTAATCCTGCCCCACGGTGCTGCTGGTCTTCAATCCAGTGAAGCATTTAAACACCTGCTAGGAAAGTGCATAAACACATCCAGCTTCAGTTTGCCTGCTCACGTGCAAACTGCAGCATGTGCTTGGCTTAGGGCTCTGCACCCTGATGCTTTCCCTGTTATCAGGCTCATTAGTAGCTGCTGTTGGAGATTCTGACTGAGAACGATGGCAAAGGCAAGTGAGCAAATTGCTCTGAGGACTCAGATCTTGTGAGAACTGAGCTACCACCGCTGGTTCTATGAACAGACATCAAAACACATATATGTAAACTCAGTATTGAAGCTGGAGGCTAGAATAATGACTTGACCAGAAAGCTCATGTTAATACTACAGAGAAGGAAATGAAGCAACACAAATTGTTTCAGGAACACTTTAGCTTCCAGTTTTAAATGACCCATCTCAGCTCCACCTCGACCAGCCCCATCCACTTCGTCCTCGGTGGTGCAAGTCTGAGAAAATCCAGACAAGGTGTTTCTTTGTGAATTTGGTCTCAGTTTTACTTTTCTTAATATTACTCTTTATCTGTCTTTCAGTTACTATAGTGATGAACAAATGCATGCAACAAACCCGAGGCCTGGCAGCCTGGGAAGGCGTGTGTGCTGCAACGGCTGAAAATACCGCCAAAGTTTTGAGAAATCACTTGAAAGATGTTTGCCAAAAATGCTCAGATCTTTAAAAAAATGGGTCCTATCAGACAAGTTGATGATAAATACACAGCAAGCAACATACTGCAATTTGTTGAATGCTCTGGTTTCTCCTGCATCTATACGCTACCGAAGATGCCCCTTTTCCAGGTGCAAGTACCTAAATTGTGATTAAAGGACATGAAATAGATTGCTACAAACCAAATTACTTCTCTGAACTTGTGTGTACTCTGGATCACCTCATTCTAGTGCAGTTCTCTTCTGAGAAAGGACAGCCTGAAGAGCTCACAGTCATGTCCCTCAGGGCGACCCACAGAGCCTGAGCGGTGTTGGATAAGTGCAGCAGTCTGCCTTGAATCCACGCCATGGATCTCACTCAACAGACTCTGTCTCTTGGAGTCAAACCTGCTGACATATGTAGCCAGAAGTTACATCAAGATGGGGAGGCCAAACCAAAGGGCCTTGCCCTGTGGATTTGGATTCAATTTGTGAGTTACATCAGCAGTGGCTGTGGGGCACATTTCTTAGGGCACAGCATGGAGTCCACACAGTTACACAGTGGGAATGGAGGACACTTGTCTCGTGCAGACCTGGAAGCACTGGTGATGGAGGGGATCTAGCTAGACCCTGGAGCTGCAGTTGAAGCTGAGTGCTGGTAGTTGGAGAAATATCTCTTCATTTCCAAAAGCAGGTCTGGTCTGAAATCCTGCCTGCAGCTATCAGTACCGAGCCTCATGTTTACATGAGATTTTTACAGGCACTTTCCAAAGGAGAAGCTGCAGGAAGGCAGTGTAGCTTGAAACCCCCAAAACACAAAGGGCAGATCCAGCTGTGGAAGGTGAGCACACCTGGAGATGCTGCTTTTATGCTCAGTCCAATAACAGGTATTGTACAAGTTCAGATGATGAGCTGGTTGTGGTGGCCTTGTCTGCCAAGTCTGAGGTTTGTTGAGGGTCACAGGGCCAATTTTCAGCTGCCAAATCTCTATTTGTGCAAAGGAGCTGGGCTGACACTGCGAGAAAAAAATGCCCTTGCAGTGCAGCTCCTGTTCCCTTCTGCCATTTTCGCGCAGACACAAACAAACAAGCACACAGACCCCCGAACCTGGCTTTACAAGCCAAGAGCATCACAACGTCTTTGCCGGGATCGAGGGAGATTTGCCCTACCCAAAGATAAAACTCGGGGGACACGTGGCTGCGAGCGCTCTGGGAGGAGGCTGCGGGATGAGGCTGCCGGGGGGCGGCAGAGCCACCTCCACCCTGGACAGGACGGGACGCGACGGACCCAGCTTTACGCGGCGGGAGGAGCGGGGTGCGGGAGGAGCGGGGTGCGGGCAGCCCCTCTGCCCGGGGCGGGGCGGAGCGGAGCCGTGGGGCGGGGGCAGCTCGTCCTGCGCTCCCGCCGCGCCTCGGCAGGCAGCGCCGCAGCCCCACGGGCGGAGAGCGTGGTCCCTCCTGCACCGCACCGCATCGCACCCCGCCGAGCCGAGCCCAGCCCAGCCCAGCCCGGCTCCGTCCTGCCCCGCCGCCGCGATGAGGAGCCGCGCCTGGGGAGCCGCGCCGTGCCACTTACCGTGGCTCGGCCATGGTAAGGCAGCGGAGCCCCCGGCGGGTGGGACCGGCCTGGCTGAGCGGGGACAGGGGCGCACTCCCGAGAGCAGCCGGTGCGCCTCGGCCCCCGGCCCCGCGGTGGTGCCGGCTGGGATCCGCGCTGCGCCCGCCGCTCCGGGGAGCTGCCCCCGGTTGGCTTCGCGCCGCCGTTTGGTGCCCACTGGTGGGGCTGCGGGAAACGCACGTGCGGGTCGGGATCGGGCGCTGTGGTCACCGCGTTTCCCGGCGGAGAGGAGCCGCGCTCCTGTGGGAAGCGGCGCGGCTTTGGGACAGTGGCTGGTGCGGAGGGGGCCGCAGCGCGGGTTGCCGGGTGTGATGCACAGACAGGGCAGCGGCTGGGCAGGGGGTTGTTAACAACGGGTGTTGTTATCGGCGTGTGTGTCTGCCGGCTCCGATGCCTCGGCGCTTGTTCAACCCGGGATATTCAGCGAACTGGTTGGAGTTACCGGTAGAGATCCGCGGGAAGGCAGGAAGCATTGGTGCGGCTGGGACAGGACAGGAGCCCGGTGCCACAGAGAGAGTTGCCAGGAAAGGAGCCTGGCCAGGATCTGCACGAGTGGGAAGCTTGGCTTTCGTGAAGGTGCTGAAGGAAGGGAGGTGTTTTCCAGCAACAGAGCTCTGGGGGTTCAGCCAGCTCCGTGCTCTGACAGGCATGTCCCAGGGTCCACAGTGCAAAGCTTTCCCTGTCACATCCGAGCTCAGTAGCGGTTCCAGGCTCTTGTTGCTGTGGCTAAGCGTTTCGTCACTGCGGAATGCCGACCTGCCTCAGACTTACTCCGAAGCTGAGGAAAGTTAGCATCTCTAAAGTGCTTTGATTCAGGTACTGGGATTGGAGCCAGTTTGTGGATCTAATGCCAGGAGAGAGAGAGCTGTGTTTGAGTGAAAAACCAGTGTTATTTCCCCTACTCCCCACCCCCCCACCCCCCCGGCATCTTTCCTAGCTCCAAAACAAACTTCCCTCATAGAAACTTCATAGAAGGGTGAGTAGCTAAAACGTGACACAGCTGCAAGTTCTTGTGGCTTCAGGGCAGCCAGGAGGGAGCTGGGTCCTGCTTTGCCAGCTGTAAGCTCCTAGACAGCGGTTGCAGTTGGCCTGGGCTGTGCTTTGAAGTGTGTGATGTCATTATGACCTCATTACTCTTTTAACATAAAATATTTTCCTTTTAACGGGAGTATCATGCTGTATTTGCTCAAGGAGAATGAGTTTCCCTGGCCTGTGTTATAGCAGCTGACTGGTTTTGCTTGGGACAGCAAGGGCAAGGTAGAGTTTCTTAGATTACTTGGATTTTGTCATTGCAGTAGTGGGGATGTATAGCCAGGCTGAGCTCAGTCTCTGGGAACCAGCTCAGGATTTGCATCCCTCTGTGCAGTACCACTCCTTGGGGCAGATCAGTGCTGTGGGAGCTGCTCCCACTCTTGCTCCTAGGCAGGGGGGACCCAGGGGCCTGGTGTTCCCATCAGGAGAGGGACCTCTGAGATGTGCAAGGAGCAGCAGCAACCTTCCTCTCCTCTGAAATGATCTTCACTGCTTCTGTTCTTCCCCCTCAGACTGACCTCCACACTGTCAGTACTGTGCAGTAACGCCGTTGAAAAACAAACTTATGAGCGAACCTGTGTGTTTGTTTAAGGAATTAGTACTTACACACCAGGTATGTTTATCTTAGTTCCTTAAACAGTCCCCTGCTGGGGATAAACATAAATAGTTTCATTTCCTCAGTACTCCACAAACACTGATTTAAAAGTAAGAGGAGCAAGTGCACTGACTGCGCTTGTTGGCTCATTAAAGCCCTCTAGGAAGTCTCCAAATTGAACATGCGGCTCCTCTGCGCCAACTGTGTTCCTGTGAGTTCCATCAGTGGTTCTCCCCCACCTCCTCCTCCCTGTCCTCTGGAGCCAGCTGGCACACCTTGACTTTTCCACACTCGCCCCCCTTTTCCAAGCAATCCCTATCTCCAGGAAAACTGAGGCAGGGCGAAGAGCAAGGGTAAGGGTGCCTGCCCACAGGGGTTTAAGTCCTTTGGGTGAGAACTGTCTGTTCAGACGTGGTGGAAGGAGTTGCAAGATGAATCCAAGGGAGGTATGGCTTGACATGGGTCAGAGGGCTGCAGGCAGCCTGAGGTGAAGGGGGTGCAAAAGAGGAGATGGGAATTCCCCATCTCTCCTCTGAGAGCGCTTCAGGTCTCTCCTGCTTTCTACATCCCTGCTCCCGGGCAGGAGGCAGTGCCTGGGGGAATGTAGAGAATGAGGAGGAATATAGATCCTGGTGCTGTGATGCACTGGGACAGAGAAAGGAGCTGAGCATCTTGAGGTGAGGACCACGGTGTTCTCTGTGGTGACTCACCACGTTTCTGGCTGTCCCCCACACTGCAGGAGCAACAAGTGAAGGGTATGGTGTGTATGCTGAGAACATGTGAGGAGGCAACATATTGCCTTGCGCATCCAACTGTCGCACTACACAATATAGAAATACTCATTGTGGTTTGTGTTTGAAACCAAAACTGTTGTGTGAGTGAAAAGCAGGAGAGTGTTGTCCTCCCAGCACTTACTGTTCTACAGGAGCAGAGAAGCAGGGCAGGATTGCTCCATGCATGGTTCACAGACACCCAGCTTGGGTAGATGGAAGTAATCTCAGTTATTTCATTGAGGAGCCACACTGATTTAAGCTGCCCAAGGGTATAGCACAAGGACTGCAGTGCATGTTGGTATAAATACTGAGAATTCTGCATCTGAACATCTGGAGGGACAGTTTGCCAAGTTGATAGAGCCTCTTGTGTCAGGGCATGATGATCACTAAGCTCCTGAGGGTAAAGAAAATCTTCCCTCATGGGAAGACTACTAATTATCCACTTATGGCTTCCCTAGCGCAGTTGCTGGAAAAGACCGTGATGAGTGCCAGGTTAGAGACATCCTCTGTTCAGATGTTGTCATTCCTGTGCTTCATTCCTCAGGCAGTCTCTCAAAAGTTTCCAAGTCTAAGAAGACGATTACACAAAATTAAATGGTATAGGTGTTTGTTTGGAAGCTGGTTGGTTGCTCTGGGAAGCAGTCTTTCACTCTGAGCACGGCCAAGAAGGATGCTGAGGAGCAGGGGGACCCTTTCTGCTTGCTCTGCACTGACTCCAGGTTTTCTTCCTACTGGGCTCAGCTGGTGATGGCAACTTTTACCTTCAGGCCTACACTTGTGGCCCACACTTGCCCTCAGCTGTCATCACTCATTCCTCCTCTGAACTGATAGAGGAAAAAAAGAATGTGTGGCATCATTTCTCACCATGCATGGATTGTGTCTAGGGTGGAAAAGCAGGGTGGTACCTTCAGGTCTCCAGAAGCCTGAATGCCAGCATGTTTTCTGCTCCTGCCTCCTGCACTTGTGTGGGAATAAAGCCATCAGAAAGGTAAAAGACACAGTTTAGGATGAGCTGCAGCTCTGAGGTTGCTGTCATGTGGGCACCTTGTTGTGGAGCAGTTTATGGGGAAGAGAAGGAAAGTGCTTTGTGGCTTTCACTTTTAATCTTCTTGCACTTCCGTTTCCTGGGGTTCCCTGTTCTCCCTGGTGCATTTTGTTGTGGGGCTGCCTTTTTGTCTGAAAAAGCTGGTGGTTTCCAGCATGATCTAACCTCTTTGCCTGAGCTGGTGCAGAGGGTGGATTGCCTCCCACAGGAGCCTTCATGTGTGGGTCACGAGAAGGGAGCGGGATGAGCCATATGCTTGTTTCTCAGCTAACATGAAACCAAAACCAGTATGGTCAAAGCAGCTGAGTTTAATATGGTCTTGTTGTGTAATTCCATTAAATTTATTTCTATTAGAACAAATAATCTAATTCAGGCCCCTCCTCAACCCTAATACGTTCGAGTGGCTGCAGACACATGGGTTACAGCGAGACACAGCCAGCAGTGCATGGTGGAGAGCAAATTACTCTGTAAGAAGACAAATTGAACTTTGACAATGTTATGTGATTAGGGGAACAATTAGAGAGAATAGCTGGAGGTGCACTCACCCAGGGGCTTGCGTGCTGGTGGAGATGGGTGATGGGGTGGCAGCAGCTCTCCAGGGTGAGTCATCCCTGAGCACAGGGCATAGTGGTGCTGGGGTGCAGTGACAGCCCACCCGGCTCCTGCCTCCAGGCTGGGATGGGAAGGTAATGGTGAAAAGGAGCTTGCTGACCTTCTGCATTGGTGATACTGGGGTGTTCTTCCCATGTCCTGATGCAGACAGGAGGGTTTGCTTATTCACGGGCGATCTGGGTTTTACAGAGCCATGTCTTGGTTGTGCCTGGTGCAGCAGGGGTTGGATCTGGACCTGTTGCACAAAGTTGAGCAGGGAAAGTGTTTTTTCCTGGGTTCTCCCCTTTGCTCCTAAGATCCCTGGATGTGTATTTCACAGAACCAAGGCAGGAGTTTGGTGTCCTGCCTTCAGTATATCTCATCCCCACCTATTCCACCCTGCCCTCATCTCCTCTGTAAAGGTACTCACACCCACAGGATTGTTTAAAGCCTGTGTAGGTGTAAAATCAGTCCTGCATGGTCCTGCTCTCACATGCACCCGTTCCCAGCAGCATCCCCACGCTCCCTCTGCCTCCCTTCCCAACTCGGTGCCTGTCTTCTGATCTCTGCCTGGGTGAGAGCCGTGTTCAGCCACATGCTACAAAGCTGAAGCTGTGGTCAGTGGCTACTGTTCTGCATTTGCATTGCAGCAGCACAGCCTACAGCTGCAAGCACCAGAGCAGCAGGGTAGGGACTTCACCCCAGCTGAGAGCGAGTGAAGCAAAGAGCTGGTGTGCGGTGGTAGCAGGGCACTCACTCCTCCATCTGCTCAGGCTCTCTTTGCTCAGAATCACATTGCTGTGAGGCTCGTTATTTTCTTTGACTCTTTCCCCCTGTTTCAGTTTGAGATGGCACAGACAAGTTCTGCCCTTATTATAGTTCCCATGGAGACAGGTTTGATGCTGTACATTAAAGGTGGTGAGGCACAGTCAGCTCT